ACTAGAGATGTACTATATAAAATACAAAAAACACCACCAAGTAAAAATAAATATTTCCTTTAAAAAACATAGATTAAAGTTCTTCAACTCTGGACAATGGCTTCACTGCTGAAATATACTTGTTTATCTTGTTTTGTTCAAAACAATTATAAACATTTTATTTAGTTTTATAACGAATGGTTTTTATTGAGAGTAGAAAAACAACAAGATTTTCAACCAACGTAATGAATAAAAATATTTAGCTTTTCTCTTCTGTGAAGATCATATAAATATCTGTGGTTTGTAGACCAAATTAAGACATATCATTTAGAGATTGAGGGGAAAACATACATTGGTTTTTTTGTTTTTCTGCTTTTTTACAAGCAAATAGAAAAACGGTATAATAAAAATAATTAATAGATGCACGCCTTGTTTTACGATCACAGATTCAGTGGAAAGAAAGTTGGGTTTTTTGTAATTTATTTAAATACTTGTCCTTAACTTTTCACATCATGGTTTTCCCTTTTCAAGGACCAAGACTGGAGCTGGACAAAATATGAAACTTTAAACACAAAATTAAAAAAGCGAAATGCTTAAAAAAACAAAAAAACAAAAAAAAAACAGTTGCTATCCTCCATCCCTGCTTGTTGCTCGGAGTTACACTAAGGACTGAACGGTGTTGCAGCGGCTGTGTGCCACTAGACTTTGTTCACTTGTACATGGACCGGGGATTGTTTCTCAAACGCGGTTCTTTCTGATCTCCTGAAAAGAAACACACACGAACGTGAGTGAGTGCAAACATGATAAGTGGTGTCTGTCCACTCCCATCGTCTGACATGGTGGAACGACTGTAAGTATTGTTGTTTGGGGGGAAGGGCGGGGAGGTGGGCGTCCTATGGTGAAAAACAATAATAAGGCTCTGTGTTTCTTTTTCTCTGCACAGTATTTATCGCATTTCATTATTAAAATAAATACTCCAGGTGACTCCAAGATTTAGCAAACTGTAGCAGCAGATTTTGAAGCAGGCTCGTCTCAGATGGAGGGACAGAAATGTAGGAAGTGGCTCAGCCTTGTGACACACAGGGAACAGACGGGAAGTAGTTGTGGGTGGGGAAAATTACAATCAGGCAAACAGCACTTTGATACTCCTTTGTATCCTCTCTCTTTCTCTCTCTCTCTCTCTCTGTGAAGAGATAAAATGTTTCAGACTGCCAAAAGTCACACTCGCAGTCATGATGAAACAAACTAAAAGAAACTACAAAAAAAAACAGCCTGTCAGCTCAATATCAGTTCAGTTTTAACAGTCAGACATTTCTATTCTACCATCTACATATTCAGATTCAGTATCTCCTTGGCTGAAGTGTTGTATACAGTATAAATATATGTATCATAGACAGGAGGAGGCTCTTTTCTTATAATATAGGTGACGATGCACGTGGCTGGTCATTATGTTGTTTATACAGTGTCTGTTCTTTTTTGAAAATGTACTTTTACTGTATTTACATGTACATACAGGTTGCCTGGAGAATTTATGCTGCGTTTAAGTCATATACAAAATAAAGTGTTTCATTAATGGTAATTAATCATTAACCCTTTTTGTACTTTATTTACATTGTGTCAATGAGGATAAATAGTCTTAATGTTTTCGCAAATCTAAACTTTCTGAGTAAATTCTATTTTATTTGCTTGAGGTCTCTGGGCTTTTGGTTAATGCCTGGCTTGTTATTGGAGGTTTGCTATGATTACTATGATGAGCAAAAATTCCCTCTGCAGCCAACTGTTGTGGCTGGTTGTTATTGTTATGGAGTTATTTCTGTTTGGGGCTCATAGAGTACAATTAAATTAAGTAAAAATGATTGCTCAACCTTATGTGGCTGAAAGAAGGAAAGTTGTTAGATTATTTTTTTTATCCCTATTTGTTGCTTAAAAAACAAGCAAAGCCACCATTTGTTTTTGTCAGTAGTGGCTGTCCTAGCCTAGTTTTATTTATTTTTTTCAACACGTATTCACCTAGAAAGTGTGCTTTTCCATTACATGCAGAAGTGGTTACGATTTTTACTGAGCTTAGACCAAGGATTTGTCTTTACGTAGAACTGAAATAAACAATATAAAACCATTATTATCAAGTGTCAGTGGACCGATCAAATAAAAACCTATGACCCACATTTAGGCTCACAAGCTACATTTGAGGAACAGCAAACTCACATTCTTCATTCATCTCATATGACATAAACGCAGCATTTTCACTACACCTGCCACAAAGCTAGTTTCTTTTGAACACACCATAGCTCCATACGGATGAGACCACGGGAACCATGTGACCAGAAAATATTGACCAGACCATGGAGTTGTGCTGCAGTAACAGTTTGATGTTCACTGACCCTCCTATTTATCAAGATGAAGTGCAATGTGGATAAGTATCACATTGATATTTAACTCGAAAGTGTCTTTTTCAGTTTTTAGTTTGCGTATTTGTTGCCTTCTGATGGTGTCAATTTTAGAAATGTCATTGTACAGAGGTCTGATGTTTGCCTGGTAATTAAATAAAGACTTTGGCATGACTGCGGTGATGCTCCTCATCATTCCAGTGATGCTTTTTACCACTAGTGATCTTCTGCATGTTGCCATAGGTTTTATCTGAAAAATGTTGTACTAGCTCTGAACTAATGAATTGCTGGTTTTTTTCTGTGGCCTTGTTAACCCGAATAACAATGTCTATCTCTTCTCATCGGTCTGCAGTGATCATAAACAACTCATGATCTTAGTTACATTATTTTAAACACAGTTTCCAACAGACTGCACCAGATCCTGTAAACAAAGGACCACAGACTAGAGAGTCCATGTAAACAGGCAGTGAAGTCATTCATCTGTTAAGCATGCAGTCTGGGACTGAGTATGTGGTCTGCCCTGTCCAGGGTCATACTGTTACACGGATGTACAGTTGGTAGTATTACTACTTCTTAAAATTTGACGTTTTCTTAGATATTACATTACATACAACTCTCTAATTGATGACTGCGCCCCGCCAACTTGTCAGTTGGAGACTTATTTGCCGTCCTGTGTTCTGACAGTCACCGTGAGCCAGGTGCTTCATTTGAAGTTTAATTTGAAGTTTTCTTTTTTTTTTTTTTGTAGTCATGGAAAGTATAAGGAAAATGTGAAAAGAGTCAGAAGACTTAAAAAATGCTACTGTTATCCTGAGAAATCTTCTATTTCTCCTTATGGTAATGTGATACTTTATTTTAATACTTTATTTTATACTTTTTTTTAATGTGATATAATGTGATACTGAAGCTTAGTCATTGAACTAAAGAGTGTTGGCTGCTAAACTTGGCTCTAGCTGAAGCTTAGTCATTGAACTAAAGAGTCCTACTTGTATAGTTGAAGCCTATTTAAGGTTAGTTACAGTCATTTTAGGAAAGAGAAAATACAGACAGCTGGGCGTCCTTACTACTGTATCTGATATGAAGCAGTTTGGTTTTGGGTGGAGGTTCCTGCAGACTTTTACCTCCTGTGTTTGTGTGTGAAAGAGGTAGAGTTAAAAGCTGTTCCTTCACCTCATGACTGCTTTGTGTCAAGGCAGCAGCTGTGATTACACTCCTGCTGTCCCATCTGCACCGGATGAAGTACATTTTTGCATTTCCCACATTGGGGGGAAAACTGGAGGAAACCTTGACAAAAAATGGCAGCTGCAGTTGCTGTTTTATAAAACAAAACAAAAAAAGAAAAGCTGGAAACAATCAAGTTGATTTGACTCAGACTGTTGCTCGTTTTTTAAACAGTGTGAATAAGAGTGTGTCAGGGAACTGAAGGCTGAAAACTCCTTATTCCATTCTTATGACCCTTTGTTCAATGTTATCCTGGTTAAGCTGATGATGGAGTATTAAACTGTGAGTAAAGCATGGACAAAAGAAAACAGTGCTGTTCGCCCATGGCCATTTTCTTACGACCTTTTAAACTTCCGGCTCTTTGACCTCAATATTCTAGGTAATTAACTGACTATAAACAAAGCCAGCCCAGACAGTTATGTACAGTTTTCTATGAGGTAATCCAACTTTTCTGTGCAGTGAATTAATGAAATAAGGTAGAGCAAGTATAGCTTAGAGGGGTATTTTGCCTTTCTGTTTTGCACAGTTATCTATGTACCCGAAGTTTGAGTGTACTCAGAACTAGAATGATAAAGAAGCCTTTCTTCCCATCTGTTTTAGAAAAAATGCTTCAAAAATGTTATTACATTTTAATGGCAAACTAATTATAGGTATTGGTAGAAGTTTCAATGCACAATATGAGTTGTTAGTTGTTGGAACTGTCAGGTTACAAAAGCTGCTAAATTCAGTCTAGTTTTGAAGGGCCTACATCCCTCTGTTCAACACTGATTATTTTACCTGACCACATTAAAGCCAGTATGACGCTGCCACCAACATGCCTCATAGTGAGTATGGTTTTCCTTGTGTGATTGGAAGTAATATTTTTACAGTGCCCAGCTGGGCATGACAGCAATGGGTGACTTGTGCTGTGAACCTTTCTCTGAGAGAAGCCAGAAGTTAAAAGACAAATGTCTGATTTTCAGAAATAAAACATGGTGTGTCTCTTAGGCGTCTCCAACCATTGAAGATGATTTGAAACATTTCTTAGGAATTCGGTTTAGGCCATTAGCTGAGGCAAAGAAGCAAGTTATAACCTGGTGGGAAAGACCTTAAGTGATGGATGTGTTTAGAATTGAGTGAAGGGAGGTTTTTTATGAATCTGTTAGGAATCCCTGCTCTTTCTTCAGTGTTCCATCTATTGTATACATATTGTAGAATATCTCCTTTGTCCCTGTTGTGGCACATCTGTACAGTATGTGACATGCACAGTCATGACGACTGTCGTTAATGTGTTGTAGTACTATCAGTGCCTTAGATCTCAGCATGAAAAACAACGGCTACATATATTAAGTAAACATTATAGATTTCTAGGACGGATCTGAGCACCACATTCTCCTGTACAATATACCTGTCAGATGATCAGTTTGATCTTACAGGACAAGTTCAGACGCAGCTGTGCTGTACAACAAACCGCACACGTTGTAAACTGGTGTTTTATAGACTGCTCTGCCGGTGAATCATGGTGAATCAGGGCAAACCTCAAAAAAGAAACAAACCAAGATTCCACACATGTCAACTTTCCATTATTTTAAGTATGACAAGATGTCTGCGAATGTTAATCCTGGAGTCTCCAGGAGTGGAGATAGGAACACTGGACTTGATGGAGGTTGTTTAAAAAGATACTCGATCTCTGACTGCTGAGAAAGAATTGCTGTATTAAGGAGGACATTTATAAATGAGACTAGGATTTTGTTTACTGTGAGGTTTTCCTGAAATGACTTGACTTGATTTTTAAGCACAGTATTATCAAATGTATCTTCAGGTGAACCTTTAGTGGTTGCTGTGTGGCACTGACTAAATTTTATTCCTTTGTACCTACTAAATGTATGCTATCTCTGGATGCCTGCAGTCTGTGGAGTTACGCTTCTAATTAGCTACTAATGCTAAGTTAATTTTGCCATTAGTTGCATTGACTTGTTATTTGTCAGTATGTTACTTTGAGTTTCTCCTTTTTAACTTATTGGCAAGGAAATGCTTTGTTCAGTCTATTATAAACTCCCTAAGCGATTGGTAGCTTTTGCTTACTGCCGTGCTTAGCCATTCTTGCTATACTATTGGCTGACTTGTACATATGTATTTCAGAGCTTTTGTTTTACTCATCAAATCAACAAGCGCAAACTGTGCTTACTGTACTTTACTGCTTCTCTAAATGTGTTTGTTGTTTCACATACTTACTCTGAAGCTGTGTGAAACGGGGAAACCAAATTCATCAGGCAGGGCATGAAATCCACAGTGAGAAAAATAGATTGACTGTAAAGGTCTGACTCACTGCTGCTCCTTAGCTTATTCACGTCTACTACTGCATGGTAGAGACTAATAATTATAGATTAACATACATCTAATGTGAATGATGATCTTTCTCTGGAAAGTATTTTTTCAGAGTAAGTAAATAAAAATAATAGTTGGATCTTCCAGACTTCAGATTTGGGGAAAACAAACAATAAAAAATCAATTCTGTGCTTTTTAACAAATAACATTAGGAAACAATTCCTCCAGTTTTGTAATAAAGTGCGTTTTTTAATTTTTGCAACAACACACATACGTTTTACATTCATCAAATCCCATGTTACTCACCTAAAAAAGCACAATTGTAACAATTGAATACAAATTTATTGTTTACAACTAATTGTTTCACATGACTGTTCTAGAAAAATATCAGTGCATTTGAACCACTTGAGGCTAAAAACAAACAAAGGAAGTTGTAATTGTTTCCTGCAGAAAACTGTAACTACACACATTTGGGCTGTGCACAGCCTTTGTACAGTGTGTACCGTTAGAAGGTTTTCAAGAATAAGGCATAAAGACACAGAAGTAAACATTTATGTTAAGTGCAGACTGGCTTTGGAATAAGTTAGGGACTGTATAAAGGCGACCGAGGTAAGAAGAGATTCATCTGCAACTTTCCATAGATTCTAAATAAGAAATGGATGTTGTTTCCGGTCCCAAACTGAAGCCCAGGAAATGATAAATATGTCTTTGCTGAGTTCAGAAGGATTTTAAACAAAAGGAAGCAAGAGGAGGTGACTTCTCAGTCATTTTTAACTCAAGTAAAATCATTCCTGAAGCTCTTTTGGTCTGTCACAGATGTAAATAGAGTATTAATAATTATTGCATAATTTATGGCTGATATACCCGTAATTTTGGTTTACTTACCGAGAAACAGTTACACAGTCTATGGCTTGTCTAATCCACAATTAAATGGAAATCCATAATTAAATGATTATGACTCTAGATTGATCAGTAACTTAAAGTGAGTTAAAATACATTGATTGTTTTAAAACATCCCAACACATTTAACCCTAGAAACCTCAACCTGCATCATTTGGTACTAAAGTGTAGACAATCAACCACTTAAAGTTCTCATACAATCCCTTCGGCTGACACTTGATTTAAAGGTTTATCATCATTACGTGGCATGTCTTACCAAGTGCAGTAGTAGTACAGTACAGTATGTACTGTTGCATACGTACTGCTTTTGCTTGATTAATATATGAGCGAAGAACAGACATGTTTTACAATATCAAGTCCCTCTCTCAAATAATAAAAATAAGAAATCAGTCATCCGCAGGCACAGTGCACCTGCTGGTCTGGTGTTCAAAGAAAAGAACAGCATCTTAAAGGCTTCACTGAGTAAACCTTCCAAACCTTCAGTCACTGTGAGTCACCAGTTTTATCCCAAAAAGGATTCTGTTCTGAACGTGTGACCACAGTCTGATGCCTTCAGCTCTGGTCAAAATTGCTTCATAACACGAACGTTTCATGTCAATCTGTGGACTTGATGCTTGGCTGGAGTTGGGGGAGGAGGGCTGGGCTTCACAGGAGGCACAGGAGGAGGATTTGGTTTGGCTTCTTTGTACTGAAACAAAGAATTTAGACAAAGTTATACAGTGATAGACAGTATTGACACAAAGCCTGTGGTATCTACTGTTTATTTTACTCCTTCAGTTTGTAAATGCACTGAAATAACTGAAGTACCGAAAGATGCCATGTTTTAGATATGTGGGTGCAGTGCCACATCTGATCACTAGTATTTTAATGTATTTTTTAGGGTTGAAAAATGTGATCCAATAAAATTGTATAACTTTTAGACTTAAGATGTGATATCATTTTTAGGCTCAATGTTGGCTGAAGTGAGTACAGTGCTTCAGAATGGTGTGCAGTGGCTGTTCTGTGTACATTTTGTGCATTGCTCATTACCATCACCTCGGTCTATCAGCAGATAGTTAATAAAGGTATGGTGACTGTAAAAAGCAAACTTTTATTTTTACTTTTTTACCGTTGATTCAGATATTGTGTTCCTATGGTACATATTTTCTACAACCTGCAGTAACGCCAGCTTGTTGAGGGCCTGAACCATCCATGGCTGCCACCCCTAATAGAATGAATCAGTGGACTAAATAAGCCTGTGGGGAAAGGATGAGGTACATCCTGTCTGTGGGTCACGTATGGCCCCATGAGATAATCTGGTCAGGTCTGTGAGACTGTTCATACATGAGATAATACGTTTTTAGATATGAAAAAAGCCAATCTCAGCCATGTCACTGTTAAGAATGTGTTTTTCAACATGCAGTCATCAGCAGACATACACCATGTTATGTGAGCAAACAGCTGAGAGACTGAAACTTCATTCAGAAGAAGTCTGTAGGAGTTTTGTTGCTGCTGTGCTAGAACCAGACAAAGTCAAACTGTTCAACCTCGCCTGCAGTGAAACATCAGACTGATCAAAAACCATTCTGTGAGTGAGAGGTCACTGTAGGCAATGTACGGTTTAACCCGAGGTGAGGGTTTGTTATTGACATGAAAACCAGCTCAGAGGAGAATTACCATCATTGCCATTCTCTTTGCTATCATTTCACTATTAACTTACGCCAGGCTCCTCATCAGATTGGCCTAGTTCCTACTAACATATTCAAGAGGCTGTAAATACTGTATGTATTCAGACATTCAGTGTGGAATATGAAGGATGGAGGTCACAGCTCAAAACAAAGTCTTGTTTATGGGTGCATTTAGATTTTGCATGGAAGTGGAAACACTAAATACTTTTTCAACTACAAGCTGGAAACTTTCTGATCTGCAAATTTCAGGCTTTAAATACAACAGTATTTTTGGCAATGAGTGCACTATGATGAATGATAGACCCCTCGTTTCTAAATGACATCATCTGTCGTCAGCCTGCACAGAGGAAATGAGAGAGATGCTCAAAGTCATGACTCACCTGTGGTTTATTCAGTGGAGGTAAAGGTTTGGCTGGAGGTTGAGGTTTGTGCTGGAGTAAAAAAAAAGAAGTAGGAATAGTAGTTTAAACATTTTTGACTTTTTACTTCTTTAAACTTTTAAAAACTCAACATGTTCATACCATATAGTGAGGGAAACTACAGTAAAATGTTATAATGTTATTATATCTAACTCTGTTTGCAATTTACTTTCTGAGTTTTTTTTGTAAATTTGTAAATTTGTTTTTGTTTTACAAAAAATTTTTTTTTTTTTTTTGTAAATTAAACCTATTTGATCTCACTGATCAGTATCAGATGTGCTTGTAGCTGAAAAATGACCACTAACACGTCATTTCCTCTGCTATGTACTTTTCTACGATGCCCAACTGTTTCATCATCTCTTCAAAGTACAGATACTTATCTCTCTACCAAACCTCAATTTGCAGTAGATTGCAGCTAAACATACAAGTTTTATTGATGAAGCTTACCGGCTCAGTTTGTGAGGTAGACAACACTGATGATATGCGTGGAGGCTGTAAAAAAACGGCACATTTAATTCCGCACACAAATATCTAATAAATATACGACACATTGTTTGTTTCCCATTATTGTCTGTACCTGTGGAGCCGGTCTGCAGGGAGTCACAGCCATAAGAGGAGTGCAGGCTTGTGTTGCTGTTGATTGCATTAGCGTCGGCTGACTGATCTGAGGTCTCTCTTTGACACTCGCCTCGTTGAACATCGGGTTTAACTTAGCAGGAGCTGAGTGTACTTTCCTGCGGTGGAAAGACAGAAAGTGAGCTACATCCATAGACCTTATATTAGGTATTTCTAAAATGAATGGACCAGAAGCTGCAGTTAACCACCAGGGGTTGCTAAAGAAATGTCCATTTGAATGGAGGTCATTGGAAATTTGATTTTTAATATGATTTTACCTTTACCTGATACGCTTTGGTGTTAATCTCTAGTTAAATGAAATGTAACAACAGTTGTACAGCCACGGTCATTTGTTTAATAATCTGTTAAATTGGTCTTCTGTACTGTGTACTTTGTTGCCTTGATAGCTTAAGAAAGTTGACTAGCCACCTGACTAGTTGTAATATTGTGTTATACAATATATAGCAACAGTGAATAGTTGTAGTTTTTCAACAACTAAAATTTCCACTAACCTTTCTGTTTATGGCATTATTTGAGGCACAAAACAAACAAACAACAGTGTATGTATCAAAAAGATTAGCACAGTGTTTCTGCTAAATATGTTTTTAAATGGTGAAAGATTGAAGGCCCACAAAACCCCAGCATGGCGCTGAAATAACTCGTACAGATCCTACATAGTCAGTCAGTCACAGCTTAGTTCTCACTACCTTTTAGAAGTGTAGTTGTCAACCTTGTCCTTTTTACAGCATATTAGTCCAGAGATAACGACAGCAACTATTAGGAGAATACAAAGAGCTGCACACACACCAGCTATTATCCAGTTTTGACCTGCAGGCACAGACAGGGAGATTACACATTATAACAGTATATACACTACACAAACATCACTGTTAACATACAAATTCATTGCACTTTACATCAATGGAGAACTTACATTCATGAGGCTGATTCAAGTAAATTTATAATTAATAAATAAGAGTCTACATACAAAATTCAAAATTTGTTGTTGTAATGTATTAATTAAATGTAAAAATTGTTAGTTTAGCTTGAAACTTGATAACGACTTAAAATTACACATCTCTTCATTGTCTCGGAAAACAAAGAGTAAAATTGTTCAATTTTTATAAACAAAACCCAATAACTGTAGGCTGTAGACCCATGGAGTCAGATGATTCATTTATAAAGTTATCATTATGTTAGTTCCAGTACTGTTAACTTATACACAATGTTAATAAAAAGCACGCGCATGTATTAGTTTAACTTGTTTTTTTTTTATATTCTGTACTAATATTATAGAATACTTTTTGCTATGCACAGAAATAATTCATCACTTCTGTTTGTGGTGGCAGAAACAAAAGTGAAAGGTCTGTAGTTCTAGTCAGTAACACTGATATTTTTTATCAGCACATTTTGCTCTTCTGAGGAAAATGCAGATGAAAACATTTTACTAAAGAAATATTGGTTTCATCACTTCTTTCTTTTGAACCGGATGTCAAACGTGTCATGCCAACTCCTGACGTGTTTCATAACTTCCCTGCATTTATAGATTGCATGCAGATTCCTTGTATGGACTTAAAATTAATTAAAACAAAATCTATTGACATTTAATAGATTACCCCACATAATAATGAAGAAAGCACCAGGGAGCAGTTTTGGTGTAATGTGCGGCCCATTTATGAACAAGTTAGCTGTCCTTGAAGCTTATGTCTCCCTCCTAAGGTGTAGCTAAGGTGAAAGGTTCATTGTGCACAAACTTTCCCTTATATCAGGCACATTACCTTAACAGAAATTATGTGAGCAACAAAACTCAATTCTAGGAGGGGAAAAGACCAGAGTCTGTAACTAGCTTTGGTCCAGATTGATCCTATCTTGTAAATTAATCATTTTTGCAAAGTCTTCTGACACAGTAGGTTAAATGGTGTTTTAAAAGTGATTGTCCTTGCCTTTCTCTTGTGTAATCATTTGAAACAATGTTAAGTCTACCTTTAAATGGAGTTAAAGCAAAGATAATTTTAGACTTTGTCTGAGACACATATTTGGACTTGATTTTATCAGGAACAAAGGATGATGATTTTGCCAAATATGCCATCACTCATATTGAGTCATCCATGCCTAATACTTTTAAGAACTATGATTCTTTAGCTTGCAAAGCAAATACTATTTTTACTGGTGCAGCTCATTTTAAGACTTTTGGTTTTCAGTTAAAACCATGTCTTAAGCAACCAAATTGTCGTTACACATATTTTCTGTCACATAGTGACTAGAGATCCAGTACAAAGTTCAGTACCTTGAGGTGAATCTGTGTACTGTGCGTCACAGTACGGTGGAGCCCAGCCTGGATCACAATGACATTCGTTCTTGTGATTACAAACCTGAAGGTTAAACACACAAAAAAAGTTATTTACAACACGTGCCCTTTGGCCTAGAATAAATCTGAGTGAATTCCACTTTCGTGAAACCTCCTAACACACCCCGTTATTGTTGCACTTCTTTCTACAATCTTCTGGTTTCCCATAAACTGACAAATCCACACATTTATTATCCAGGCAAACCTGTAAATAAAAGAATGCTTGTTAAAAGGCACATGGGCTCTGGTATACAGTTCTTATACTGTGTCTCCTTGTTTCTGAGTCTACCTTATTTGGTCCACATTTGGTTCCTTTGGGCACCATGTCAATTTTTCTGATTGTATAATCATCCACCACCAGTTTACACTCATGACCTTGCACGGTGTAGGCTGCCCTTCTACCTGTGATGGACTCACCGCCTCCTTGACCAAATATAGATCCACACTTGGCCTTCCTGTAAAGAAAAAGGAAACAATAACAAATTGATCAAGCGATAAAATTGGCTTGGAAGTATAATATCTTCTTCTTGATGACAAAGATGCTGCTATTTTGTACTGTAAGTCTTAGTAGCCAGAATTTAAGTGATGGCGTAATTAATAAGGTTTAAGACAAAATTGTTTTCGGGATGAACACGGATTTGGAGAAGTAAGAGAGTTTGGGAAAGTTTTGCACTTAAGCGTTAACTGCTTTTATCTGCTTAGACCCATGGGGCAAATCCTTGTGGTAACAATGTTCATCAAGTTTAAATCATTTGAGTCCTACAGTAAAGTGCTATGGCTCAGTTTGATGGTGGCAAAGGATATTGCTGTATTTATCAACTGGAAGTTGTCACAATAGATACTACTGGAGCATTTGAAATCTGTGTAAACTAAGGAGCCAAACAGGAGTGAGCCACATGTTTGAACTTGGCTTTGGGGAGCCATTTTGTCCAACATCTTTATTAATACTCTTTATTAAAAAAAAAAAAAAAAAAAAAGCAAAAGGAATGCCTTCAGGACATTCAGTGCAATAATACATACTGTGCAGCACACTTAATGTATCCATTTTTGATCTTTCCACAGTTTGAGCCTTCCGCACCACGTTTATTTAGATCAAAACACACATTAGGTCCAACTCTCGATCCTGTGGAACAAAAAAAGTGTAGTTAGAAGCCTATTGGTGACAGGAGAGTGAACTATTTAGTAAAGGGCCAGTATGCTTGTCACACCTTGTCCAAACAGCCTCCAGCAGTGATACTCATATGATGGACATTTGCCGTTGTAGCAGTAGCCCTGTACGTGGTTGTAGCACGGTTTGCCATTCATTACAAAGCTGTCTTCAGGACAATACTCTGATAAGCCATCGCAGTATTCAGAGAGGTCACACTCTCCAGCCGACTTTCTGCACAAACTTCCAGCAGCTTTAACCTGTGAGTCAAATGTGTAGGTGATAACATTTAAAAAAAAATCTATTAAATCAAGTTGCGATGGTAGTAGTTTAAGTGTGCCTAAATTTCTACATTATTCTATTCTTATACATTTATACATTTCTACATTCTACATTAGATGTTTTCAGTAAGAAGCACTTCTTCTTCCTGTCTTTTTTTGAGGAAGGATGTGGTGAAAAAATTCTTCATGGAAACAGGAGAGCATCACCTTCTGTTTCCTGTTATTTTTGCACTGGAAAGGAAAATGAACTACTTGTCATTGTGACACAGCAGACCACTGCACACAACCAAAAGTGACCTCTGCACTTTACTCATCACCAAAGTGAACAGGGGGCAGCTTAGGTGCCTGTGGAGCAGTGTGTGAGGATGGTGCCTTGCTCAGGGCACCTCAGTGGACTCAAACCTGAAACCTTCACCACCACTGTCCCACCTCTGATGCAGATTTTATAGGGCAATCTAAGAGTAACCATCATCTGGCTCCACTGACTAAAATATCTCAACTTTTAAATGGAAAGAGGTTTCTAATCTTGCTTTAGACTGTTACATTAAATAAGTCGTTTAAAAGAAGCTTTACCTGACAGTCTTCACAGCACTGTCCGTGAGCACATTGGGCTCCTTCAGTAAGACGACATGTTGAGGCGTCACAGCAACGATTTTGGCATTCCTAGAAAGGAACACATAATTTTTTATTTATGTATAATGGTGTGGTGATGAATAAGGTCAGATTCTGAATCTTACACACATACATCCAGTATCTGCCAACAAACACTCCCCCAAGATGTGAGCACACAGGAAAGCTATGTTAACTCTTTGTAGCCAAACATTGGTGAAGTAATGCCTTACTGTAATTTCCTCAAGTTTAAAAACTATATATAAGCAGTCCAAAAAATAACAAGAACAAGTTTATGTAAAAAATGTTCATCAACTTTTATTCTGATATTTCTGCAGCCCCCCACCACCATCACCTATCATTGGAAATGATCACAGAATTTCCAACAATAGTTGAGGGCAACTGGACAGAACTTTTGTCTTATTTGAGGGCTAAATGTGAGACTAAGACTGTAAAGCAATGTCATTTAAAGGAAGGGGTTTATCAGTGGCTTCCCTTACTCTGCCTCCACACTAAGCTTTTACCTCCACTGTTCCACAGTCACACTCCTCCCCAGGTTCCAACAGTGCGTTGCCACAACGAGGCCCCACAGGGATGATCTTAGTGGGGCTGGGTTTATCCAAACAGCTAGGCTGAGCCCGCTCCATGTACTCAGCCAGCTGATCCACACTACAGCTGCTGAAGAACTCTGGGAAAGCTTCACTTTCTGTCCTGAAGATGGGGGGATTCAGATATGACAGATTACTCACTGTTGGGTCGTTAGTTCCAGTCTTGGGTATAAAAGTAGACATGCTCATTACACAGAAGTATATGGCCAGTCATGACATTACTAAAAACCATTGTTTTAGTTTTCTAAGTGCAGTCAATAACTGTTGGTTTTAAACAAAGTAAGTGAAGCCAGGAGTTACACACTCAGTGTACTGTAGGACTAAGACGTTCCAGTTGCCAAATATAAAATAAAAACATTCAGATAACCAGCTCAGACTTGACCACTGGGAAATTCCTAAGAATTTGTTATATCTAATTGCAACTGCTCTGGGTCCTTTAACACATCCCACTGATCATGGCCTTTTTTAAATTAAATTGATAATTAATTATTGCTTAATTGTGATTCAAACATACCCTTTGATTAGTTAGATGAAAAATTGTAATCATTTGAAAGCCCTAGCATCTTATTGTTTTTGATCTTACCATTATTAAAGACAATGACTGTACAGTTAGGCAAAACAATGGTTTTACTAACATATTAGACCATAATAAATAATTAGGCTAGAATTTACAACATTACAAGAATTTACAAATGATCGGTATATTTTTTTACCCAAGTTTTTCTGCCATTACACAGTTTCCACTGCGAGATGAACCACAAACACAGTCTGCGGTATCATGGGATAAGCCAAAATTATGACCCATCTCATGAGCAAGAGTTGAAGCCAGGCCAATTGGGTTATCATGGTGATCCTGGTGGTGAAATGCAGAATATATCAAATAATACTGACACTCTTAGCTCCATCCCAGTGTATGTAGGCAACAATTTAGAGAACAAACCTGATTGACTCCACCTGAGTTTTCAGCACACATTGCAAACTTATTTGCCAGTCCAACTGTGTCTTTGTCAAACTTTTTACCACTGTCAAAAAGAAAGACAATTAAATTACAGTGAAATATACAGTTAAAACTGAGCTTCAGCTTCTGCACAGATTTTTAACAATGATACTCACGTTACAAACTGCGCATTGTCGTGTTTTGTCCTCTGCAGAAGCTCAGTCTGGCGCCACATCAGGAAATTGTCCAGCGTTGTCTCTGAATTAATATCAACATCTATAAAGTCCCTTTGTGTCCAAATCTCCAAGCCCACCAGCATGACATAAATGTTTAGAGGTTGATACACCTGCATAAAAAGAGACACTCTTCAGGGATGATGTGCATCAATAGGACATAGACATAAAGATGACAAAAAAAACCCATCAAATATTCACCTTACGGTATGTAAAATTACCTTGTTGACGTGATTTATAGCTGCAAGAATTCGGGATCTGGTCTCACTTCCATACCGTTTATACTAGAGGTAGAACAGAGAAGGACATGGTCATATTTGTCTAGTGGTACAGTGATGGCTGGGAAAGAATTCAAGATAAAATTTACCTCTGCGTTGTCAACCACTACAAACAGCTCCACAAACCACTGGGTGATGGGTTTAGTTTTCTGAACGGGACACAGAAAAACATGTTAATTACAATATAAATGTTCATATGAAAAAAAAATCGTTTACATGTTTTAGAAATTATTTTATGATCACTATCCCTTTAAAAATTCAACATATTTATATTGTATGTATGACCTACCCAAGATCTGGACCTGAAAAGACCAGCTAGACGAGGGACTTGATCCTGGTCCTGTTCTCGGTCATACAGCATAGTGTTGTTTGACTCTGTTCCACTGCTGCGACGGTAAAGTGCGTGATCTTGGCTCTCAGATTTCCCCAGGGGCTCAATCAGGTAAACCTGCTGATGAGCCCTCACAAAGCCACTATAAATACAGCAATACACAGGAAGATTTTACCTCCAAACAGTACGTCATTTTAGTCAAGAAAATAGGAGTGTTGGTTTTTATGGGCAAAGTAACAAAAAAAGCAAACATGCTAAGATCTAATGTAAATGGGTAAACTTTTTAAACTTTTTTTAAAAAGCCGTGACCTTGCAAGTAATTTAAGCGTATCACAAGGTCACGGGTTATTTTAAGGTTAACCTAGATTATAGCATTAAAAAGTTGGACAGGAAAAATTGGTAAATATTTGCAAAAGGTTTGAAAATTGCCCCAACAAAAATTAAAACTACCTAAAAAATAAAACACCTAAAAGTTACCCAACAAGGTTGCTTAAATTAATCTATTGCAAAAATGTAAGAACTAAAGGAAGGCTAAAATTGGGTCATATGATGATCTTAATATATATATATATATATGTATATATATATATCTTAAAGTTTGTTAAAACTATGGGCACTAGATAATATTTTTTTCACTGGTACAAAAAGAGAAATAACTTATATTTATTCTTACTTTTTTGGGAGATTTTTTTTATTGACTTTTTTGTATTTTTTTTTAACTCATGATGTAAATCTTAAAAAAACAAATGATTACTAAATGTCATGAGGAAAGACATTTCACAAGGATTTATGACATACTCTCTCACATTAAGACAGAGGAAAACTTTAAAATGAGAAGTGAAGTTGTGGAAATGTCTCACCTGAGGCCTGAACAAATCCCCACACTGACCGAAGAGTCTGTCACTCCTTCAATATGGCCGTGATAATAACAGTGATCCTACAGGACAATGCAGCTGTAAGATTAGGTTACATAATAAAGGTCCATCTAGTACAAAGGCAACATTTTAACAATGCAACCTTGAATATAACATCTAATGTTTTTCTAGAGTGTTTTCTTAAAATCAAGAACTCGTTATGGACTTTGGCAGCAAGTCGATTCATTGAGTGTTCGTCTTTCTTTAGTCTTTCTCTGCTCTTTGTTTAACCTCTATTTATAAATAGAGTAAGCTATGAGGCAACTTGGTATTTATTCTCAGGATGAGGGTTAAAAACTTACCTGATGACTCGGTGACGTTGTAACTCTTTTACCATATTTGGAATAATGTGTTTCAGTGTAACCTTCTCCAATAAGATTCCTGATATATTTAGGTAGAAAGAAGAAAAACCAAATTGTTTAATCTTATTAAGTGTATTTCATTTACAGGGTAAAAATAACAACTTTTGGCATTTTGAATGATTTGGATTCACTTTTTAAAAATATATCGTTTATTGCCTTTTGAGCTGACCTTTGGCTAGTTTCAGTTTTTAGGTGATTTTGAATCACCTTTAACCTTACTTAAGCTATTTCTAGGTTTACTTTTAGCTTTATCCTTGGCTGACCTTTAATCCTTTTTGCCACAACTTTTGCTGGTTACTACTGTGGAAGGATACCTTCTCTAGACTTTAACTGCTTTAATCATTGTGTTATATTTATTTAACCATTTTTAAACCAGCTACCACTTATCTCTTTGGAATCCTGCAACACTCAGTGTCTGGCGTGTGACAGATAAACATGGATGAAATACACACACCCTGCATAGCTACAGTATGTCATGGCAGTTTTGCTCGCTACAGAAGTATCCAGTTTTTGACCCCTTAAGCAGTTTTTGGAGGAAATGCTAATAATACTATTAGAGGTATTTACCCAAAATGGTTGATCATTTCTTAGGGGAAATATTTGACAAAGCAGGGAAAAATTACCAGTTCTTCTCCAAATTAATGACATGTTGCTTCCCTTCTATGGCTAACTTGTACTGCACGGAATCAGGATAAAGCTGAAAAACAAAACAAAAACACACACACACCGATGAGTGAGATGAACAGCTGTAAGTAAGCTGAGTAAGTCAGACTCACATTCTTTACTCAGTATTAATTACTGAAGGAGATATTCAATTTACTAATGTTAAACATAATGTCATGGTTCTTTAATAGTAGGATTAATATAGAAAATGTGTGGCTGTGATAATTAAGAAGAAAATGAGTAAATAAGTAACATACATATCAAAAACATACATGTCATTTAATTTGAATAGAATTAAAAATTAAATTGTTTAACTGTGTCACTTTTAACACTCTTAGTGAATAATAAGGAGCAAAGTACGAGAGAGAGCTAAGCCTCAGTGTGTGAGGCTCAGGTGATGAAGGTTGTTCCCTTACCTGGTTTTTCTTTAGACTCCTCTTGTGTCGCCCCAGGATCCTCTGGGGTCTGACCACCTCGTACTGCTCCACATTAGACAGCAGGGCAGAGCTCTGCACCAGACAGACTGCAGACAACAGCAACAACAGTGTCACACACAACTAAATTCTTTACACGGTGTGGAAACAGTGTGAACAACAGACTCTTCTGAACTCAACCCATCGAGAACACACATTTGTCCTTACTGACACGTGATGTTAAAGTTTCCAACACATTAGAAAACGGAAGTTCTAAATATAATTTAAATGTGTGAAGCATGATTGTTTAGTCTTGATGACATCACCTATGCTTTTTAAACAATTTATACAGTCATAATGTTGAGCTTTTTGCAATGTTGTTTTTCTTTCATGCTGTTTAACAAATCAATTACTCTAATTTTCTACATTTGTGTAAAATCTTTGGCTGTTTTTAGATTTTCTTTTGGCAATTTACAAAAACATTTTGGGATTAAACTCTTAAGCTTGGCCAACTTTTAGAACTTTTGAACATACTGTATATAGTTCTGTTGGGAATTTTACGTTATTTCGGCTATATTAGGGTATTGTTTGGTTCATTTGAATCACCTTGGGTGCTTTTGCCGAGTTGTCATAGTTGTATTATATTTTCACATCCTTTTCTCTATTTTTGCACAATGTCCAGTATGCAGTTTTATATGCAGTTTAACTATTGCAAAACGTTAGGTTTTCTAATTTTGTACTATTCCGCTTCTCTAACGGTTTTAAAGTTTACAACTTTTACACATTTACATCTACGTTTGTGTTATGTTTGTATATTCACATTTTTAGCTACCTCTAAGATTTAACAATACTAAAAGATTGTAGCACATTTATGTTAACACTGATTATGCAGGAGAGAAACTTTAATTATTTTAGTAGCCAGTTTATAGCAATTAAAAAAAAAAAAGAAATAACAATGACATTAAGCCCAGGCATTGGAACTTATGAAAATACAGGCTGGTGGTCTGCCTGCTGGGCATTGCTGCCTGACGCACCTCCACCAGTGCCTTTTTTCTACAATGTCTACTATGTTTTAAGTTATTGATCAACTTTAATCAATGACGTTATTGATCAGCTGATTTTTACACTTACTTTGAATACTCGATAACTGCACGGACATTAAAAATCGTGTTATGTTCGAATTTTAACGATATGTGAGCGGTTTTGTATCCGTTATCCCGAAACAGAAAAGCGACTGCTTGATAAAACATAATAACAATAGTAAATTACCCCTGTAATAAAATTTGATTTGAGCAGAAACTTACCGCATGTCATCCACAGAGTTAACATGTCGACGTACTAACTGTCCCCGGCCGCTGCTTCGCCGCTGTTCTTCTCTCCTCCACAGTGAATCATCACTGACTTGGGCCACGCCTTCATGTACGGCTTATCGCCGCCTCAGTGATTTACCGGAAAGACCCCGTCAAGGCAGCCAAGCTTTAGTAAAACCATGCGAACTTCCGTTTAATTAAAGTGAGAAGAAGCAGAGCAGAGCACGCCGTCAACGTTTATATTTACTCAGCTGGAGCTGTTTCTCTTGGACATCTTAAGTAGTTTTCAAATGTTGGTCCGCCACCCCGAGAGATCCGTGGACATACGACTGTTTGTGTTTATACGATGTTTTGGATTTTTAAAGTAGACTCGGTTTTTGTAGCTCAGTAGTGTACGAGATTTGTTCATGTGTGGCAGGGCCACTAGTAATCTAACAATCTCATCTCAACGCACAAAGGCAGCATTGTTCACGTACACTGTAGAATGTACAATTATTGTATTTCATATTACACTTTTGTTTTGAAGGTGGTCTGGCTGTACTTCTGGTATGACTTCGGTTGGTGTCATAGACCACAAGAATTCCAGAAACGTCTGTCATGATGTGTCACTTAGAAATGACTTCAACATTACACATATCATTAAGACATAATAAAGTATTTACATACATATCAATAAGACTGAATAATTCAATCAGCGACAGCCAATGACTGTCTGCAGTTGAGCAGTTAGTGGTTCGCCACAAGGACAAAAAGGGCCAACGATACATCAGTGTGTAATAAGCAAACATCTGAAAAACTTGACTCAGTAAATAGTTTTTTTAATGAAGTGCTTTACAATCACATTTTCACTATACAGGTTGAATGACCCTTCCTTAGGGAGTGTCATCATTTACATTTGCAGAGGCCAGTTAACATAACAGTTACAATTTGTAGGGTTTACACGTGAAGCAATGAACAAACTTTCCATTTCAAATGGCGTATAGTGTATTCACACTAGATTCTCACTGCTTTGTCTTAACATCCTATGTCTGCATAAGGGAAATGCATGTGGCTGGAGTAGGTCTGATGTAGTACAGGCAGGAGGACAGGACATGTCTTTATTGCTAGATGATGAGGTTTGGTAACATGCTACGCAGCTGCCTTCTGACTCCGCTCCACTGCCATTCTCTCCAGGCGCTCAGCGTAGAATCCATTGAAGTCCAGTCTGTAATATTGCACAAATTGAAAACAAAATTTTGTCCATTACATAGAAACATAACTTTTGACAAATTATCACTGAACATAAAAACAACAATTTACAGAATACTTAGTAAACATCCTGTGGTGCATATGTACACCATATTGAATATTGAATATTGATTGATTATTCTATAACAGCGTGTCTCAAAATGCTGTCATGAGATGTAGCCCTTCACGTTGTTTTGGACAATTTGGCATGACTGTGTGAATTATGAATAGAGCAAGTTTGAGAACCACTCAAATAAATAAATTGTAGGTGTTAAAACTACACGCACTTATTTTTAGCTCAGAGTAATGTTCTTTACTAATACAAGATCTTTGATGTTGTTAATGCGTTGCTGTGGAGAACAGTTCAGCTTTAAGAGTTTTTATGTTGCTCTGTTATCAATTTGCTCACTCTATCAACATCTTTAGTGACAACTAATTAAATCTGTTACAGCTACACTTGGTAGCAAGTGACGATGTGAATATCAGCATAAAATCATTGTGAATCAGCACCCTAGTGCTGACTGTGACACTGTTGTAGTCCTAACAAAATGCTGTTATAAGTCAGCAAGTGTGTTTTATGCTCAGGCTCTACCTGTAGATGATGCTGATCATGCTGTGTTCACAGTCATTGGTGCTGTAGATGCTCAGCTTGTCCAGCAGGTCTAGCAGCAGCATGCTGAAGTTACTGTCAAACTTGCTGATGGTGACTTCTAATCCAGAGTCTGACTGCACGGTGTCCACATTCCCAGCTAAGAACTGCAACAAAAAGTGTACGCATTCAACATCTGTGCTGTTGCTGTGGATTTAATAAAGTAATTAAGTTTTATTTCAGCTCAGTCATATTTCGGTAAATACTTTTGTCGGTAGCCTCTTCTTCTGTGCTTCGTCAGCCTGTTCGTTTTGAGTAGTAGCTCCATCTATAGTTCCTTGTTGGAGAGAGAGGCGTTCCAACCTCATACTCTGAGTGAAACGCTACATTAGTGAAAATGACATTCAGTTAGAACCTCATATGTTGATTTCCATGACGGCTGTTAGTTTTAGCTTTAGTATGGGCTGTGAAAGGATTATTATCATTGTGATCAATCACTGGCTATCTGTGGGTCGATTAAACTTGTGGATGATTAATTCTGATTGTAACTGAACATGATTAATTGAAACAAATCTACATTCCTAAAAATGACCAAAAAAAAACTTGTCTGTAAACAGCTGAAACAGACAACAGCAGGTCGATGTACGTTTGTTTTTATTCTGTGACCAATCCGAATGATGGAATTATTATTATGTAAGAATGTCAAGAAAAATGATTTAGCTGAGAGGGTTTTTTAAGCCTGAGGTTCTGTGCTAATACAAATAAATTTTACTGGTTGTAACGGTTGTATCAAATGTGTACTTATGTCCCTAAGTGGTTGACAGTGGAATTATTGGATAAACAATTCATATCATTCTGCCAATATGTTTAAAATACAGTAAAATTTCAGACTTCATCACAAATTGATGAACATGATTAAAGACCACATTTTGACAGCACTAGTTTTGGTATAAACAAACCTGCATGCAGTTTGTAAACATGACGCAGACAGACATGAGTTTGGAGAAGATCCTCAGAAGCTCGGGATTGGTGAGCATACAGTCTTTCAGGCAGTTGTCCAAGAAGCTGGTATGATGGCAGAGCACATCATCAATGTTTGAGGCCTGGAGAAAGAGACAGAGTTTGTTACCAATCTGTGAACATCAAGTCAGGAGCGTAGCCACAATCAGTTTAGATCAGCTCAGGGAAATAGGTGTTCGCACCGTCTTCAGGTTGTTCTCCATGATGTGCCAGGTGGGCTCGATCACCTCAAACATCATGTAGTACTGGATGTTCTGCACAAAGTTTAGCATGCGCTGTCGCAGGGCAAATGCAGCAGCAAACCTGTAAACACAGGAGTTTTTTTAAAGGCATGTAGAGACTGTTTTGCAGCTTTTATAGAAAATAATAATCATATGAAAGACCAAGACAGCTCACCATTTTGCAGAATGTAAAGAGTACTGCTTGAAATCCTTGTTGCTGATCCACACGTTACACAGCATCCTCTCAACGTGCTTACAAAAAAACATGTGTCTGAACAACATTTGGTACCTCGTCAACGCTTTCCTGGGAACACAAACCAAACCAGAACACATTTACTATTTTTGTTATTCAGTTGCTATTATTTTTTAATTGATTATAGTTTTAAATCCAATTGGAAAAGGCAAACACAGCTGATTCCATGTGTCTAAACATACAGTACACAGATTCTCTAAGGCACAGAGTTACATTAGATATTTTAAGTCTTGCTTAGTACAGTATGAGTGTAGTTGTAAAGTCTCCAAATCATGACCAAAGTAGTTGTTAACCCCACAAGGGGGAACTCCATGGTTGGCAAGTAGACCTTTGTTTAAAAGGTCCACAAGGGGAAAAAAACAAGCCTCCTCCTCCTCACATGGTTAAAAAAGTTGGTTATTATTTGAACAAGGAGGTTATTGTCTTATAACTAGTTTGAGGCACTTTGGTTCAGAGGCAATGTCTCTGTCATTGGTGTGGAACCCCAGGGTTCACCTCCTGGTTAGGGCAGTTGGTACCTTCCAGTGGACTCACCACCCACAGGAAGGTTCAGGGGGGTTGGTACGGTGCAGTGTGATTTGAGTGGCGGTCATGGAGACTGCTGCCCCCGCGACCCGGTAACAGATAAGCGGATGAAAATGCCAGTTCCTGTGTGATTGAAATGGTATAGGTTGAAACTGCTAAACCCTGCAAACCAAGGACATTCCAGTTGTTTGTAGTCCAACATTAAGAGATGATTGAGGTTCTACCCTGACTGAAACTTTTATTCTTAAGTGGTTTCTTCTGTCCTTTGCCTCTTGCAGTCAAATTGAGTCTGTTAGGGTTTGATTCAAGACAAACTAGACAAATGTTCTTTCACCTAAAAAATCCTGGCACTTTTCTACCTGTTGATGATGAGGGACAGCGGCCACTTGACTATGTAGTCGAAGGAAAAAGCCTCCAGTCCACTGAGGGCCACATCGGCCGCTTCTGCATTGATTATGGCCTTTTCTTGTTTGGTCTCGATAGCCAGCACCCGTAGCAGCTGAGTGATGACATCATGAGGCATCAGGTCAATCTGTGGAAAGAAGAGAGTAACACTGTGAACAGACGTGACTAATACACAGTATCATGAGATAAATCTGTGACCAAAGCAAGATGAGAGCAAGGAGCTAGGGATGGTGAAATTATGGAGAAAAAGAAGGTCTATGTTGATTTCCATTTGCTGTTTGCATTGCTCTTTGTTACTTCTGCTTTTTCAAAAATTTCAAGACCTTGAGCTGATGTGTCAGAGCTGATGAACGTTATGACGTAAATGCTAAACGATTGCCAATAATTCTTCCATATTAACAAACCAATAACACTGGGTCTTATTTGATCATTGCACAGACAAAATAGTGTGCATACAAACAAATCTGTGCTTTATCAATATTTTATGACAGGGATTTGTTCCTACTCTGGAAACAAATTCTAAACTTTCTCAGATGGAGTTGAGGCCAGCAAAACCTTGGTTGGTTTGCTTGAAAAACATGTTCTTTTACATTAGAATTTTCACATACTAGAAAGATTAGGTGCCTCTAAATACAGTTTCTGCACAGACTCAGATATCCACCAACACTGATTTCTACAAAAAGAGTCATATGTGTAAACTTTTTTCCCTTTGTTTCTTGAACTGACCAACATCAAGACACTAGAGGAACATTAGTAAATGAGGCCCGTTGTTAGGTTTGACCTTATCGTGAGGTTACAAACACTTGTGACTCTGACATTAAAGGAGCTTCTTAACAACACGCAACACATGAAATAATGGTCTGTCTTTGCTTTATTTGTAGATATGTCAAGAAGCTCATTTTTGTTCTTATTTTAAAGTATTGTCCATCAAAAAAACAGAATAACTGGAAAGAATAGACCAAATAGTCCTAGGCAAAAACAGCACATACAGGAGGGAGCATGCAATACTTGTGCACTCACTCTCTGCCTGTTTGTGGGAAAGTATAAGTGAATATTACACATAAATCATGTAGATACACTTGAGATGCAGTGACAAACGTACCATAAAAACAGAACTACAATACATCAGAGAGTAAAACCTTTCCTAAGGTAATATGGCTGTAGGGGCAGCTTTACTACACACATACAGCAGTACAGTAAACAAACAGTGCAATCACATTGAAGTTAACAGTTGGGCTGTTTGTGATTAGAAAATCGCCACCAGTGAAATTAATGAAAATAATGATAAGCATAGAGTTTATGCTTAGGTAAATTACAGAGCTTATATAACTGAAATAACCATAGATTCAAACCACAGTCTTCTGATCTCAGACAGTTGGGGGCGAACACAGCATAACATAACAGTATCATTTTTATCACCTTTTTTACTGTTGCTGCGACTCAATTGGCTGTTTAGACACTAGCATCAACAAGTAGTTTTGCAGGCAATCTTTACTGCTAATTCTTATCAGTTAACTAAAAAACACCTACCTTGAGGTCATCTTTGAAAGGATCAGTGTTGGCTGTGCTCATTCTTAGAGCGAGCTCCAGCAGGGCCTCCAACCTGGGAGGAACAATATCGTCCACTGGCTTTTTGAGCTCCTCCTCTGTCAGGTCCATGAAGTGTACAAAGAAATCACCTTTGTCCATCAAAAAGTAGTGTTTAATGGATCTGTGTGGAATCCCCCCCACCCGCACCAAAAAGGAAGTAGAAAATCAGTTAATATCAGACATCCCTAGTATACAGAGCCAATAATGATTTACTATGACTACTGCATTTATTTTGACAGCCTAATAAATAAATCAGGATTATTTACCTCAGGCGTGACACCAGCTCCTTTTCTTCCATAAGGAAGTCCAGCAGAACTTTGCTGGCATAGTTGTAGGCCTTTTCTATCTGCTCCACGTAGGCCCGTTCCTTTAAAGTGTACAGAACCTCCTTAGCATCTGGGCACGTCACATCTCGACCACACTCCCGTACCACATTGAGGTATTTGCCTAAAAAAGATTTTAGACATAAAAAAAAAACAAAAAAAAAACTTTCTTGTCCCATCTGAACTCTGGAGTGTTGTTCTGCATTTAGGGCTTTACCTGTACTTAATATTTTGTCTGCCATTTTCTGTAAAAAAGAGGGAATACGGTGCTGTACAATGGTGTATCTCTGGTCCCAGTACTTGTCATTGTAGTCTTCCTGAATCTTCTCCTTCTGCAGCTCGTGCTCCTCCACCATGAACTCACTGCAGGTACACAGTATATGTAAATCAGGCCGACTCACTGGTATTTCATCATTTCATTTCATGGTACTTCATCGTTCATGGATTGCTCCTGATAGGGGTGCACCTGTATGGATCTTTGATGATTCCCCTATAGATCCACTTCTCTAGTATTTCAAAGTAAGGGACACTGGCTGCTTTGGTGAGGTAAAGACACAGTTCCTGAGCCTGGCTATCTCCAGTGTAGTTGAATGTTCGATCATGCAGGAGACTCAGTGTTGACCCACCCATACACTCTCCTTTATCCAGCGAGGATGCTGAAAAAAGTAATGGAATAAAATTTATTTCATTTTCTAAAGGTATTTGTTAAATAATAAACAAACTACACTCTCTAAACTGTTGAGGAATCAACAGGAGAGAGACAGACAAAAATTGTGCTTTCTAAGCCGAAACAAAAACCTAGGTTACGCAGCCCTCTAGTGGTTTAAATGAGGAGCTATCGTTCAAAGAGAAGCTGAAGTGTCTCACTGTCCTTCAGTTTTATGCCAATATTGGGAAAAATATTGGCTTAAAACTTTCATGTAACATTGTAACATTTTTTTCTATGAGTGTTTATATTGAAAATACAGCTAAAAACTAACTACAAATGACAATAATGTTACTTAGAAATTCATTTAATTTCAGTGCCAAAACATTCTATAAAGATAATAAAATATTTGGTACCAATAGATGCTAGTATCTCCATGGTCCTCATGGTGGGCTGAATATAGAACCACAGCTTCTGCAGAGACAGCAGGCCCTGTCGCTGGAGGTGTTCCAGCTGAGTGACCAGGATCAGGTATTCCTTCATTAGAGTTCTCATTGCAGCAGTGAGAGCGTGGTTCACCTGGCCATACTCAAAGGATGACTTCTCCTCGATAAAACTGAGGCACACAGTTTAATAGTGTTTTTAATAGCACAGTAACAAACTAAAGAGAGCATTTTATACACTCACCGTGTCACAGTGGAGTAATATGAAGCCACTGGTAGTATTCTGTTAACCAGCTCTTTGACAGAGAGGTCCAGTGTTGAATCAACAATGAAGGAGCGGTTCTGTCTCCCCAGGACAGGCTGAGCTGTAATGTCTCTGCCATCAACTCCAATCAGGACAAAGAGCAGATCTTCCACCAGAGTTTGTTCTTGAGCAGCCAAGGGCATTGTACCTGAGGGCATGTGTTATTAGGACCAACAATAACGCCATGAAATTTTACACTATACTTTCTTATTACATGTTAAATCCTGAGCTTTGTTTTATCAAACCTCTGCATTGTGAACACTTGGTAGTGCATTTGTTTGGGAAAAAATCTTTACCTTTGTAACTGCTGGATTTCACCATGACATCAGATCAGGGATCAGGCTGCTTAATTATACTGTTGCCAAAGTAATAATTGTAATCTCTGTGTTGCTGTACCCTCATTTGCTGTACCCCTTAATTTCTGAAGTGTGCGAACAGCATTGATAAATTGTGTACTTTTGCAAATATCTCACCAACGGGCACATTTGGATCTCCTGGAGGGTTGGGGCTGGTGATAAAGTCACCAAGGAGAGCAGGACGGTCGTAGACCCAGTTAGGAAACACAGGAATGGGCTGGGTAGGGTTTTTCTTGTTGTGCTTGTCTCTCAACATCTTCCTTGTTACTTCAGCAGGCTACAGGCAGTGAATAACAGGATGCATTGATTACAGTGTATGGTTTTATGGATGCCTTTTGTTTATTTTGTTTTCTCAAGTTAACAGTAAGTTTTAAATGTCACTGGATCTGAGAATAAAATACTAACCAGTGGAGCACTGGAGCTGGCTGTAACATTGCCGAGCTTCTTCCGCAGCTCCTCCAGTTCCTGCATTGATATCTTGGTGGTGGTCTGAGGCAGAGTGTAACTGGCTGTGGTTGTGGATGTTGTGTTTGCTGATGAATCTGCTCTTTCTTTGGCATTCTGCTGCAGACACTGAAGCGTCTGCAGAAAAATATTCTAAATAAATACATGTTTTGGTTTCATGTTGAGCTAAATGCACCACTTTGGTTGGTACATTATATTAATGTTTTACAATCCATTTATGCTTGCTTCAAAATTTTCTGTGAGAGGGTCAGGTCTCAAAACATCACACTAATTACTATTACTATATATTTTACTTTACCTTTGCTACATCAAAACATCTCTTATTTAGTACCTTTTTAACACTTTATATGTAATTACTGTGCGTGAAAAGTTATGTATATTTTTCCATTATGTGCTTGATTACCTCTTTATCCTCGCAGAGTTTGGAGAGCAAATAGACCAAAGGGTCGAGGTTTCGGACATTTTTGGACTTCAGCTCTTCATACTTTCTCAGGAAGTCTTCAGGAGTATCAGAGAACTCTGCCAATTTGACCTTAAATAAAAAATGTTCCGCATTTAAAAACATAATGGTATGACAAAAGGCACACAAACTCCACTGTCCTGTTTGTTAACTCACAAGATTCTGTTTACTTAAAGGGTTAGAATCATTCACCTGTTTGTTTTTTAACTGGTTACCACTTAAGGACTAGTAAGTATTTTTCCTCATTTTATTTTGTATGTCATGTTTATGTTTGTCAATGGACACTTGATACATTTTAGGTGCGATAACTCCTGGCTTCTTCAGACTTTATAGATGGACACATCCTGTAAGGTCTTCCACTCACCACGCTGGTTCGAGGACGCCACTTCTTCATGTTCCCTTTGAGCTCACCGTCTCGTAAGTTAATTATTATTAGTGTTGAAACACAAATAATAACATTACTGCCAGGTTACATCCACTCTGTATAGAATGCATTTAGTCTTGGTGTGAACTTTATCTTTCTAGTAAAAAAAAAAGCATTTATAATACTAGATTCCTGCTCTTGTACACTGCAGTGTAGATTAGAGTATCAAAACGCCTATACATTGCATTTTTCTTGGATACTACACTTCAAAGTATCAAAGGTTTCTTCGTATTCATTGCTTCTCTTATGAATTGGAATTCTTTGAACGTGAGGCAGTCAGACGTTGTAGACTGAGATTATTCATTTGCAGTAGGATTTTTTCCCTACTCATTTAATTCCAGAAATGTCACATCAATAATTTCTACTGTCACAAATGTCTTGTGTTTTAAGGATTGTACAAATATTGCGAAAAGAAAATTGCCAACCTTTGCACTGTGAGCAGAGACAGTCGTGGTGACATAAGGAGTCCTGTGTTTCTGCAGTAAGTCAATGTAACCTTCAGCTCCATCACCTCCTCGGACATGAAGTAGGCTGAGCAATTCGTTTACGTCATGATGAATCTTATACTCACTCATGGCTCAAGCAGCTGAAAGAACAACATAAGTAAATTATTGTAACATTTTGTTAACAAGCTGTTAAAAACAAATGATAAGTGATAATTAATGATTAAAGTATTGTCAATAGAAACGCTATCAAAATTAGCAATAGACCTGGTAGCCTTTAGTTGTACATTCTGTATGCTGTAATTAGTTGTATACATACATACATATATGCGTGCACTAATTACACTGTCGTTACCGCAAAAAAGAGTAAACAATTCTTATTTGTTGCTATCAGGCTAACTAGCCTAAATCATTTGAGGTAAACGAGCCTGGATGATGCTAACGAGCTAAGTATTTCAGAACGACGCATATCGTTCAAGTGCAAAAATACTGTTCTTCAGTAATTGCACGTGTTATAACATAACAAATCCGCGTCTGAGCACTAACCTGTCAGCAATGTGACAACAAACACAACATCAGTGTAAACTGTATCAGAGATGAGACAGCGCGCCTGCTACTAGTCAAACTCTTCTTTAGTAGTGGTGCCTGTCGTTTTCGATGTCCTTACATTGCAACACTGCCCCCACAGTGTATGTGGCAAATAAAAAAAAGCTTCGTTAGACTTGTGAATACGTGAAAAGTAACCATAAAACATACAAACGTTAGGTTTGCAGGATACTAAAACAATTGTGTATATACTGTACAACTTTTTTCAAACATCTTCAATGCAAAACCCTTTGAACATTTATGTGATATGATATTCAGTTGTCTGTAATTACGTTTTTCTTTGCCAACTTCGTTATATTATATAGTCTTTCAATGGATATTGTCCCATGTTATAATTATTGACATATATTCAACAGCTTGAGGTAATCTTTAATTGTAAATTTGTTTATCAGTTTATCATCATGGCCATTTATTGCTCTTTTGTAAACTTGTTAGATTTCACCTAACTATACTTTATATTACTTTATATATGTACTACATATATATTTACTTTACATTTTTACAAGCAAATTAAAAAATACATCTTAAATTAATTTTAAACAAATCTAGTGCTCAACCCCATTATTTCGATATCTGAACTCGTTATATTCGTCTATTGATCAGACGTAAAGCGTTAGTATTCTACAGCTTGAACACATTTTATTTTGAAACTCCATGACATGACGGAAGTAAACAATAATAACGTCACAGCCCGGAAGCATTATGTTTCTGTGATTAACGTTTGAATAGACAAGAATGAGCAATATTTGTTGAGAAAAAAATATTAAACGTAATGCTTGCAACATCTCTCATGTTGTAATATTATCAGATACTCGTCTTTTCGCGTGTGGAGGTAAAGGCTGTCGAGTGTGAGCAGCAACGCCCCGATGAAAGCCTGTCCGTCGGAGAAAAATAAGCTCGCAGTGTTTACTATTTGGTGGAAAGGGGGCTGTTTCCCCGCAGTGTGCTGTTAGCTATTAGTGCAGTTATTGAGTGTTTGACTGGTGAAGAAGAAAAAGGAAAAGAAACATGGCAGAACTGCATGTCGTGGAACCGAGCGGTACTGGCCCCATAGACCAGCCGGAGCACCGTGACGTCCGCGGCTCCGTGCGCCTTGCTTCGCCCACACTCATGGTTCCTGTTCGCAGCAGCCAGCTTAGTCCCGGAGCGGTGTCGAGCGGTTGCAGCGGTGCAGGACGCTCGGTGTTCGGTTTCCCAGGGAAGAGTAACCCGGGATCGCCGTCAGAACCGGGTGACAAGCCGGGCTCACGCTGGGTTCGACTCAATGTCGGTGGGACCTACTTTATCACGACCAAGCAGACGTTATGCAGGGACCCTAAGTCCTTCTTGTTTCGACTGTGTCAGGAAGACCCGGACCTGGATTCCGACAAAGTGAGTCAATACTCTTATAAATGGTCCAGATCTATTTAAATTACTCTAATTCTAGATCCACCTTGACTTCCAACAGTAAACAGATAAGCGTCCTAATGTATTACAACTAAATAGTAGGCACTATTAGTAGATATTAATAGATTAGTAGATCTACTTGTAGTAGATGTGACATTTCAACAGCTTTTTACTGGGATTTATATTGAATATATTAAGTAAAATGAATTGTTATTACAGGATGAAACAGGAGCGTACCTGATCGACAGGGACCCTACATACTTTGGGCCAATCCTAAATTACCTCCGACATGGAAAACTGATCATGGACAAAAACCTGGCTGAAGAAGGTAAAGTCAACAAAGACCCAACATTAAACGAATGCTAATATTATATAATATATATAATATTATATATAATGTTATATTCAGTAATGGGATCAACAACAAAGCTGCAGGGCTGCTGTCAGATTTCTGGTCGATTGAACAGATTTTTATATAGCTATATGTTTTAGAAATATTAAACATTGAACGTTCTAAATAACATCATGAATACATTCGCCATTCGCCTCAATATCCAACTTCAATACATTGAAGACATGTGCAATAAGGTATAATATTTCTCTTTTTTAGGAGTTCTTGAAGAAGCCGAGTTCTACAACATTGCATCACTAGTCAGGCTGGTGAAAGAGAGGATACGCGACAATGAGAACCGGACATCTCAGGTACATTTGGAAGGAGTAGAATTGTCAGATAAATTCCAAATCCAATCTTTGTTTTAGTGTAATGGTACCTAATATACATTTATGGTACAAATGAACTGTGTCTTTGTGTACGTCAGGGCCCTGTGAAGCATGTGTATCGAGTACTGCAGTGCCAAGAGGAGGAACTCACACAGATGGTGTCAACCATGTCAGATGGTTGGAAGTTTGAGCAGGTGAAGGAAAATACAATACAAAATAGAGCAAAGCATCCCGTAGTTATATTTATGTTTCTGTTGTAGTTTCTCTAAAGTTTTTTTTTTTCAACTAATTTCTTGGAGGCACAGACAAAGAATTTAAGATTACAAAACATTAAGAGAAAACATTGTAGTACCATTTTATTCAAAAATGACTGACACTGCCTGTTCCTTGTTTATGTAGCTCATAAGCATTGGCTCTTCATATAACTACGGCAATGAAGACCAAGCTGAGTTTTTATGTGTGGTTTCTCGGGAACTCAACAACTCCACTAACGGTATTGTCATCGAACCTACTGAAAAGGCCAAGGTGAGTGACCTGTGTTGCAAATTGAAATGGAGCAGTGTGACTTTAGCCTAAGAATCTTGTTGAGCCTTAGTTGGATTTGCTTGGCTTTGTTTTATTATTCCCTTTTCTTCCAGATTCTCCAGGAACGAGGTTCAAGGATGTGAAAAGTTAACCACACCTTAAGTTGAAAACAACGCCCTGAACATTTTTCATGAGTTTACGCCCTTACCTACACCTGCCTGCCATCACAAAAAACATTATTGTGGTCATTATCCAACCAACCTTTCCCATTCACCCTTCCTCTTGACTCCATTGGTGTTCCTGTCCATAGTGGCGGGGCTCTCCATTATAAGCCTTCTCCTGCAGCTCTTCAACACAAATCTGACTTTTCTTTTTTCCTCTGCTCCTTTGAAGCCTTGTGAGGAGTTTAACACAATTTGCATGATGGTTTTCTTTTGGTCATTGACATGGCTGAGTTGGTGGAACCCCAGCACAAAGCTGTTACACTTCCCTCTTGGTCGTCTGCATTTCTTTTATTTTCAGTTCAGCTGACAGTGATTTCGCCCACTCTAGACACGTGGCTTTGTGGATTTAGTGGAAACCTCCTCAGGACTCTCAAAGAATGCAAAGTGACAAACACATTGTCATTGAATGAGCCTCCTTCTTTACATAAATCTGATCCTGGTGCAGGCTCTCTAACTGTGGCTCTTGTATCTGGCTGTCTGCATCTCTGCGCTCCCAGACTCCTCAGCTGAGCCAGGAGGTCCAGAGGTTGGTGGATAAGGGGGATCATTTCAAGGCAGCCCCACACAGAGTCCAAATGCTCTCTATGAGCCACTGTGCTGTGACATTTCCTCTACTCTTGCCAGATTTGAGAATCAGCTCAAATGAGTGATCACTGATCACTCGTTCACTCATGTAAAACACACACTCACATACACATACATCTTGTTTTAACAATTCTGGCGCCTCCTTTCCTCTTGTTGGCTGTCTTCAAGTTTAAATTGATTTCTTCTCACATGGAACAAATTCTGTGATGTTCTATCTCAAAACAAAACAATTGATTAAAAAAAGACTACACTTATAGTATGTACAAAATATCAAGGCATGTGAGGGATTTATATAACTCCATATAGGCTTCATGAAGAAATTATGAGAATCTGAATGCAAATGGTGTAATTTTTGATTTGTGGATCATAGTTGTCATTTTTTTCACACAATGTGGTGGAGGAGTTTATTTAAAAAGAGAAATATCAGTTTTCCTTTCCTCAACCTCTGACATGGGTGAGAGATTTTGTATGCAGTGCCTCTGCTTTCTGTCTATGACTGAAATACAGTATCACGATTTCTTTCAGCTGCACGTTTACTGTAGTGTTCCACAGGAAAAAAAAGGTTCTTACTATGTTTTCACTTAAATATCCTACTTTGATATCTTGCATATCTTAAAATTGTAACTGGGGACAAAGAAAATTACTCAGTGTTATTTCTGTTTGTTCAGAAACGTGCAACGTGGCGGGGAAATATCTCTGTAGCCGGTCTGTGAGCTGCCTCAAAAACTCCAAAACACTCTCTCCTCTCCATGGCTTTTTGCTCTTTTCACACTCGTTTTCAGTCACTTTGCAGCTACCACTGCTGCTACTCTTCAATTTTTATACCAACATGACTGTGTTTCCTTGCATTCTGCAGCACTTTGTAGCAGCTGTAGTGCAAACGGGTTTTCTCCTTATTTTCCAAGCCCACAGGATCCTCAGCTGAAGAGTTCAGATTGTCAGTGAACCTGGCAGATAGTTTGAACACCCAGCTTTTGTTTGAAATGGAACAGAACTTTATCCTGCAGCAGAAAGACAAACCTGGCTTAAGTGTTTCTCTGAAAACATGCTATACATGAAGTTAGTCATTGCCGTTTTCATCATACAGGATGATGTTTGTGGCCCAGGTCTGGCTCGTGTGACACTTTTATTTGGGCATCATCTAGCATGGAATAACACTAATTGAGTCGTCAACATCTATTTGCTAAGTCTAGGTTGTAACCAGGCTTCTGAACTGTCTCAACTTAGGTAGTGTTAAAATTTTACAACATAGAACTTGTCCATGAGTAACTTAATGTAACATGTAAGCCATGTTTGCATCAAGAGCTGTGCATATGTAGCTGAGATGATGAGATTTCTCTCAGTTAGGGTTTAAGTGATTAAGTTTAAGGGTTTGAGTGACGTTTCACCTCATCGACGTGCCGCCCTTTGTAAAAATATTTGATGCAGTTACATTATATCAAGCATGATCAAACAATGCATTTATAGGCTAAAGAAAAAGTACCATAGCTGTTGTTGTGCTCCCTGACTGTTTCTTTCTTATTACTGTTTTTTTTTATTATTATTATTATTTGACCTCAAGCGTGTGCCGTGCAGTTATATTCTCCTCAAGGAGTTGTGTGCTTGTGTGTGTGCTGCTAAATATTTCCAATATTGCATTCAGGAGCAATTTTCCCCCTTCCTTGTTGTTCTCTGGACCTTCACAAAGCACCTTGGTTGTTGTTTCCTCTTGTCTGTGTCCAGTGTTGTGCCTTTGACCTGTGTTGTGCACAGTTGTAGCCCCTATCCTTTCATGAGGCGCCTCTCATACCTTAAAAAAAATCCATGCGGCATCTGCCTGAGGAGAGATGATTAATGCGGTTTAAAGCTTGGTTTCACTTGTTGGTGTTTTATTGAGAGCCAAGCCAAACAAACCAACTATCCTCTTTCTATAAAATTAAAAACGAGTGACCTTTTTTGTGCCATTGCATTGAGCCAAATCCAAACACAATCCCTTACACTCCTACAGATTCAAACTTGTGATTGTCTCTGCTGTAAACACTTTGATTTGTATTGTGCTTCCAGCAGCTGTGAGTGCTGGGGAAGCAGTTTCGCTCCTCCTCCTATCTTAGTAAAAACCTCCAGCAGTGCACTTGTAATCAGAAATCAATTGAGGTACAAACTGAATATTTATTTGGCCTCATCTTATCCTTTGGTTGCATGCTAAAGCTGTTTCATCTGATTCCATTTAAAGCACTTATGATGTATCTGTCACCATTGTGAACCCAGTTTCATTGTAACCTTGGTCGTGTTGTTCAGTGGTTCCCATCCTTAGGATGCTTTGCAACCTGAGAAAAAAATGTAATTATTAATTCTGCAATGTGTGTTATTAGCTGACATTGTCTATTGATACGAATGATCTTTGAAGACTTGGTTATTTCTTAGTGTAGTAGTATATCAGGGAAAATGCATTGGAGTTAAATACTAACATTGAAAGAAAAAGAAGAAGAAGAGATCCAAACAGACGAGCTACAGAGCTGCTTTTGTGGCCAAAGTTCTTTAAAGGACCATTAATTAAAAATTAGCTAAAATAATTCTATCTTTCATGTCTATTGGCAGAAATGAGATAAGGAATAATATTCTTTTATTTATAACAGAAACAGGTCTTTAAGGTGGAATTAATTTTGTACAGACATTTATTATTCCCTCACAGTCCTCTGTGTTGGTGTCAATTTACCAAAGTACATTAAGTACAGTATCTCTATTAACCAGATGGTGTTTTTACGTGTACTAAATTTATAAAGTTGCATTTTCTAATACATACATTTTGAGACAATTCTTAGTTGTCTAGGTCATTTCCTTTGTCAGGCATTTAAAAAAAAATTCTTGAGACATTTTAAGCATCTTAAGTAAGACTTAAATACTGTGTTTCTTTAAGATGTTTCTGACCAAGAAGCCTTGATTGTTCTTTTTCAAGAGATGCAAAACCCTCTTGATTGGGAGGTTTCAAACTTGTTGAACATGTAAAGGATCACAGTCTGCGACTCTGTTCTTTTTTTTCAATTTACTTTGTTAAGAAGCCAAAAAAGGTTGGGAACCACTGATGTTTATATATTTTCAATGTGAATATAATAATTGTCGACTCAAGCAAATATTTTAAAAGACAAAAAGCAAATATAACTTTTAGTTTTTACTTTAAGATGCACTAGCTAATCTACAGGTGATGTGCAATGTTAACAAATCTGCAAAAAGCATATATATATAAACAGTATAAATATATATATATGTATATATATATATATATCTGTTAATTGGGCACGTGAAAACAGAAGAGCATGCATTGAGATTATGGTGCTGTGTACTGGATTTTGTCTGACCTCTGTGTTAGTGCAAAGTGTATTTGATGCATGGTGGCAGCGGAATAAAAAAAGGGCATGGTCCTGTGGTTGGTAGGTGTAGAATTAACATGGTCTACAGTTGGTCTACGACCAAACATGTTCTCTACTTACATGTTCTGTTGCCTTGTTGATTTTTCTTTCTTTTCTTCGATACATTGGTTTAACTAATGAGCTAAACAATTATATCTAGCTTTAAACACTAATTAGCCTTAGTAACCAGATTTAAAATCCCAACTCCCCTCTCTGACTTGATTCATAAGAGTTTACCCACTGGACAACACACAAGAAATATTTTTAATTACTCTGTCACTTTACCAATTTATTTGTTAGCACCTGCATGCGTTTGTGGGACATGCACACTTGTACACACATTTAAATGTACTAAAAAAAGTCACCTATTTACAATTTCTTTGTGTTCATTTATCTACAGTATTGATGTCAGATGTGAATATTGTCTGGAGAAATGTTTGGAAGCTGACAAAACAATATGTCTAATTGTTTTACTTTTATTTATTTTGTTTTTTTTTTTATTTTGTCTACAGATGTTGTTTCTTTACATGTAACAATTTTAACGAAACCATGTCTGGTTTTTAATCATAAAATGTGTCTGTGTTTAAAAATATTTTCACAGGTTTATTTATTTATGTGTGTTTTAGCAACCATTAAGATCAATGTCAAGATGGAGGGCAGAAGTAAGGAGCTCTGCGAAGAGTTATGACAGACATGATGGCAGGTGATCAGGAAAAGAGCTCAGACTAAGAGAGAAGATTGGCAGAGTTGTTCATGGTGTTTTAGACCAGATAAAATTGTGATAGAATGAAGTACAGGAGAAAATTGGGAAAGAATTGTACAAAAAAAAACTTTCATTCAAGTAGGACTTGAATGCATTTTATTTCCACATTTTCAAGTAATTGATGGTATATGTTAGTATTAGCAATAGGAATGACCTTTTGTTACTACTACTAAAAGTCTACACTGATAGAAGATGCATAAATCAATTGTTTATGATAGATAGATAGCTCGATAGAACTTTATTAATCCCTGGAGAGTTCCCTTCGACCAATTATGCATTATGATATATTTACTTTTGTAAAAACACATTTAACAGCCCTAATAATTCGATTTTTGTCTGTGTTTTATAATGAGTCATTATATCTTATTTACTGATAAGAATAAGTAAACTGAAAGTTTGAAAATAATCAATACAGTGCATTTATTATTTGCTTTGTTACAGTGTATTATGTACGGTTGCAGCAGTCACCGCCCACCGGGCAGGTCACTGAGATGGTATTCGAGCGGACCCACGGCGGTGGAAGCTGCTAGTGCTGCTAGGGCTGGTCTTTTCCTCGACACTTCAGTTGACTATGCTCGAATTTACGGAGACCTCCCCAACATACTAAAACGGTGAGTAATTTATTTTAATTTACCCATATATTTATAAGCATTTATTAGAGTACAACTACTCACAAAAATAGCTTAGGTAAACACGCGTCTTCTTCGCGGCGGACGTGCTTGAACAGTGATGCGGAGGATTATCTGTCAGACTGATGAAAAAAAACTCGGTTTGATATTCGTTTCATAAGTTGTTTTTATTTTTTAAACTGTGGCTTTACTCCGTAAATTACTGTTTTTATTGCGAAAGCTATATTTACGTATGCAAGTAGAAATAAGTATTTGTCGACATGTGGGTAAAGACGGTGCTAACAGGTCACATTATATGTTCATTTTCTCAATAGTTTTCATACGGTGTTCTCCACTCTTTATACTTGCATGAAGTGCAATAAGGGCTTTAAAAGGAGAGAAAGGGATTAATTTAGGTCATTAAATCAAATTAGTCAACATGTTGTGGTGACTATTCTTGCTATCACTGTACCTGTCCCAGCATATGCAGCCTCAATAGTTTTCAAATAAAATATCAGTTTTTTAGTTGTGTCACAGTATATGATGCATACAAAGTACTTTTTGAGCAACCCTTAAGTGCAGTTTTGGGTACAATTCCATTGCTGACCTGCAGGGCAGACTTCCCGAAAAAAGATAACATCTCGCATACCTAAATACTTATTATCCAACCATTTTCGTCCGCTTATCCGTTACCGGTTCGCAGGTGCAGCAGTCTCACCCGAAATCACACTGCACACTGGTGAGTCCAAGGGAAGGCGCCGTCTTGAATAGGTTACATTTTATATTATTATACTAAAGTATTTATCTTAGTTTCAAAGCCAATAATGTGTCATCGTTTTAAATCAGAATTACCTCTAATCTAGTGATACAAGTACAGTGAGAATGGTGTGTAGATTCCCTTTTTTCGTTGAAAAAAAAGTAAGAACACGCTACATTAAAATATTAATATTTAAATATGTGTACCTTTTACCCTAAGACTTTAAGACTTTAAAATTACACATATATGTACAGACAATATAATGTAGTAGCAGATAGAGGAGCAGAGGTGGGGGGTGGGGGATACATGAATGGGACCATGACCTGGTTTTCAGTAATTTCTTATAGTATAATAAAGTAATTGGTTGAGGTTCTTGATGTAAAGCAACACCATAACTGAATCACCAAACCACATTGTTGTGTGCACTGCTACTTGGTTTTGTGAAGAATGATCCTATTGTCTTGTTACTAATGTTATGTGATGTGATGTGAGGTAATGTAATGAGCATCCATGTTACATGATGTCAGTAATGTATCTATGCATTCATTTACAAGAGCAGACACAAAACCTACTCAAGAGCATACAAGCAACGGGTCCTCTTGTTGGACCAGGGCTCCTTGGTGCTGTCCATCTAGGCCCATTAGTCTAGGCACAATCATTCATCTTAGTGTTTTTTATTACTAATGTTATGTAAGATAGAAACACTTGGAGAATTGAGACATGTTTTTTCACGGCAAAGAAGATGAGTTAAGAAAGAAGGAAGTGGTTTGTATGTTTTTTACTTTCTTTTTTACTTCTTGATAGCAGGCTGACAGAGTGGAATGTAAAGCAACCCAAAAAATGATACACAGATTAGAGCTAACTAACACCATGTATGTATATTTTATGTATGCATTTCATTCCAGCAGGGGTAAGCAATGAGCATGTTGGCTTTGTTTCACTAAAGTAAATTTAGGAGTTGTCCAAGCGGAAGCTGTTGTATCATCTAGCTCGATAGCCAACAACTGATAAAATGTGGGATTATTTTAATTTCGTTCCTAATTGAATAGTGTATCATTTTCTTATGAATCGAACTCTTATTGGCTGTTTCTCTGCTCTGTGGTTGGTTCATGTTGACATGGTATAAAAAGTCTTCTGGCGTGGCAGGGAGGAATCACTTTTGAACAGAGAACTATTTATTCAATGGTTTTCACACAAGCACGTGTTTGTCTCATGCTGGACGTGTTTGCTTTACATCAAAGTATGATTGTTTTTTGACCTTTCAGGCTGTTCTTTTAACATAGCCATCAGTATCATATCTGAGTAGCAGTGACAGTGGTGGCCTGGTGCTTAACCAAGTGGACCTTTGTCTTTAAGGCAACAGGTCACATTTTGTGATGTGCTGTATCAAAATAATAATAAAAAAAATTTAATTAATCAGTCTGTGTAGTTTAAAGTTAAACATCAATAAATTGCCCCCAATAGATACTGTAATTTGTGAAATTGATCTAATTTAACCTTAGATGTTGCCTAAGCTGGATTTGAATAAAATGTTTTTATCCAATCAAGCAGCATATAACAATACAACATTAAAAACAATGAAACAGGTTAAATGCATTAAACCTGATTCATTAAAAAGATGAATCACAAACATTGATGAATTTTAGCACAATTCATCATATTTATTATACTGCTACCATCAACCGTCCTTAAGTAAACATGTAAGATTCTGCAGGAACTTTGCATTGACCTAAGTAATTTGAGTCCAGGAAAAATTGTGAACAAAGTCATACCTCTACATCAGGCTGACAGGTCCAGGACCATTCACTACTCCAGCTGCATCACACCGTCGAATGGACTTCTCTCTTTCTGTTTACAGAGGTATCAGAAAACAGACTCAGCAGTTACACTGACATGGACAGCAACAGTTCTCACACACCCCGCCAAACTAACACAGGAGGCCTGCCTGACCTGCCCAGTAGACAATGACTCAGGGAAATGGAATCAGTGGGACGACTGATCCACTTCTGCATTTGGAGTCTAGCAGCAAATGTGAGCAGGCCAACAATGCAATGGATCATGAGAAAATCTACAAGGCCAACAACTGTGAATCCAGCAAGGAGGGGAGGGGGACAGAAAAGGACAGAGACTCCATGGCTGACGGAGGGTCAGTCACTGCTCCAGATGGTGGCTGGGGCTGGGTGGTGCTGGTCGCCACCACACTAGTCCTGGCTTTGACCCTAGCCTTCCCATCGTGTATGGGGATCTTTTACAACGACCTGCAGAATGACTTTGATGCGTCCAACAGTGCTACCTCCTGGGTGCCCTCCATCATGACATCAGTGCTTCATGCAGGAGGTAAGGCAGAGAGTTCATCAACACTTTGAGTCCAACACTGAACATTGTTTACTTTAGTCTGTTACTAATTTACATTGTTCAATTAACCTGTGTATTATTAAGAAACAGTTGACAAATCTCTCTATTTAATTGAGCTACAGGAGGACGTTACTCAAACAATTTGCCCTTCAGCGCCTCTAACCCCCAGGTTGTTTTTGTGTGAGAGGAATGTAACAATGACCCGCTGGTATTTTGTTTCCAGACCATAACCTGCTTTAACTTCACACTTAAGTGACAGGGTGTGCGCCAATGAGTTGTTAGAGTGCTGGAATTTCAAACTCAATACTGAATTATTTGATGACTACTAATAATATATTTTTTTTCTTTTTTGTCAACAGTAAACATGATAATTTAAAGGCAACATCAATATAATTGTTTGAGTAGAAATCATTAGTCTGCGGAACGTAAAACTGAAATCATCACCATGGAGACCATAAATATTGACTTACACATTTTTTGTTAAATTATTTACTTGTATTATTTCTCTGCTAAATTAAACATCCCATGTGTACAGTGACACCTTAAAAATGTAATGTTAGCCATGCAGGCTTTTGAGCACTTTCCAAATAAAAAAGATCACATGCCAATGATACTGCAAATTACAACCTGAGTAAATCATTCATTGGCTTTATGACTATGATTTGGATAAAAGCATAGATAATAAAATGAAGCCTACGAAGTCTTAGTTACATATACAAAATTATCTTCATTTTTAATAATAATTGCTACATCTGGTGTTTAGTGGTACAGAGGTGCTGCTTTGGTGTTCAAGTCATGATTACTGTGCAGAAAGAAAGTCTTTGCCCACTTTGTTTTGTCAACACAAACATTGTGTAATGTGCATGAGATTAGACCATAAAGGTAGACTATAAAAAAAGTCACATAAAATATGCCCAATGTATCAAAGTGAATGCGTGGGTGCCTCAAGCTCTTATCTAAAAAAAATTATTTGTTCCTGGAAGGAACATGACATTGCAGTAATTGTCCAACATGTCAACACTATGTAGCGAGTCATCATCCATTTTGCAATGCTTTGTATTGTCCTGAAACCACAAACAGTTGATTTTTAAGTTTAAGTTTTTAAACTAGAGATTTAATTTTAAAAATGACAGAATCAACAATAATTTAACAATGAAATGTGGCTGCTATTCCCTGGTTGATGAGATGATGTCAAACCCGTCATGTGCTTTATTCATCATGAGAAGTGATACATGACGCACACACGATACAATTACCAGGAAAAAACACAACAAAATCACAACTTGTACTACTGCAGTACACATGGAACTTTCATTTATTGGCTCTTTTGTTGTTGTTGATGTTTTTGTTTGTACTTTCAGGACTGTATACTGGTTAGCCTCTTTTGTACCTTTAGTCAGGTTGAGTTGTGTTTTGCATGGCTTGTATGTCAGGTACTGTGTACCACAGTCCATTTGGAGGCTGACTAAGACCCAGTATTTGAACAGGTCTCATTTTGTTGGTTGGTTATTATGTACATACATAGTCAGCCTGTGTTTTAGTTTTAGCTGGTTTGCTGTGAAGATTCCCTCAAATTTTGAGTTTTGCAGACACATTTACAATATTTTAGCAGCATTCAGCCTAGAACTACCTGGAGGTCTGGATGAACATTATTAGCAGGTCTGAACAGGGTTCAAGATTACAGCATTCTTGCAGGGTGAAGTTTGGCATGCAGACTTTCAGTTCCCTCTTTCGTGTGAAGAACAGAAGCTTTTAAGGTTGAAGTATTCTCACACAGATCAGAGTGTTGATCCTCAAATCTTTATAATAATTCACACCAGTACTTGGCAGATGTATTATGTGAAAGCAAGGGTAGAAGAAGAGGAAATGTAATACTCTTGACCTTTCACCGACAAATATCCCCCTACAGGAGGAGGCTGAGGCAATGTTACACCACAGCCCTAATCATATATTGTTGGTGAGTATGTGCAGGGAGTAAATGAAGTAATGGATGAGTACAAAATGACTTACAGTATATGCTTCAGACTAAGCTTTGTCAGGGTTTTTGCTGATTTGTCATAAGAAAATTAGAGAAACAATTTTGACTCTGCTGCTTGAAGTACTTAATAGAGTCAACTGATACAAATTAGGAAAGTCTAATATGGAACACGGATCACAGGGGGTGGGGGGAGGTCCATCCATTTTTTTTTTTTTTTTGCTTTTCTGCATTGAATTAAATGACATTTTATTCTCAGGTCCCCTCTGCAGTTTGTTGGTGGAGAGATTTGGCTGCAGAGCTACAGTCATGTTGGGGGGAGTCCTGAGTGGCCTTGGAATGGCTGCCAGCTCGTTTTCCCGCTCCATCGCCCAGGTTTATGTCACAGCTGGGGTTATTACAGGTGAGCAAACATTAAGTCCATTTATTACACCAACAGGCACTCGACAACCATGGTAACCCACTGCTGCACACTAGCCCACGTAAATAATGGGCAAACCTACAGTGGAGCAGGTAAATGACCTTAAGCATTAAAGTGAATCCAAGATTCCTGACTTAGGCTGCAAGTGTTTTTCTTTATTGATTTGGACTAAGAATTCTCAGGTCCTAACTTAGTTCTGAATCTGATTTTGACTCACTTTACACCTCTTTAGTAACTCAGACTTATAAAATGTTATGGGAATTTATTCAGATTCCAATGAAATGTTTTGTAGTGATTCTGACTTTGCCTTTAAACTCTAAGCACTTCATCCTGACATAATCACACATTAGCAACTCCAAGCTCTAAGATCCCTGTAACAGTGGCTTAAACAACTATAAGCTACTGTTGACTGCCAAGTTACCACTGAGGTGCTCTGAGCAAGGCACCGTCCCCACACACTGCTCCACAGGCTCTTAAAGCTGCCCACTGTTCACTTTGGTGATGGGTTAAAAGCAGAGGTCACATTTGGTTGTGTGCAGTGGTGTGCTGTGTCACAATGACAAGGAGTTCACTTTCCTTCCTTTCCTTCCTTATAGAAAAAAAAACACACAGAAACATAAGAATCTGAAATAGAAACGTAATATATTCACTGCCTAGACTTTTGCATTTTCTGGGAAGGACTTGTTATCAAGACCAGGAAACCATTTCCTTTTGAGGTCAAAGTGAAAGTTAACACTCAATGTTTTGCCTTTCTCTGTCATCAGGATAATATCGATCAGTTGTACAGGTTTTTATGGTGTAATCTGACCTCTTGTGTTTCTGTGTGACTTTTAGTGAATTGTTGTTTCCTATACCTACAGACAAATATTGTTCCCCCCCCTGTAAACTAAGTAATTTGCTGAAGTGGGGATGAGCTTGCTGCCATGGTTTTAGTTAGCAGCAGGTTTTTCCAGCAGCGAGCACTATGTCGGTAGATAAGATAATTAAGTTTAGTTAGTTTATATAAAAGTTGCTTTGCAATTTATTTATTATTACTATTAGAATGTACTAATGTACATACTAGTAATTTCCTACAAAAGTCTTCAAAAGACACTCAGTAGCCTTAAAATATATAGCAATGTCCATTATGGTTAAAATATAGAAAAATATACTTTGTTGATACGTCAACTTTTGAACACTGAAAAGTAAGTCATAATGTCTAAAATCAGCCATCAATAGATTAAAATCCTCTAAAGATGATGCTCCAAAAGTAGCTTAAACTTAAGTTGGAGCCAATTGTTAGACAACATGCCTTGCATTTGGTTCCTTGATTTTGATTTGATAAAAAGGTGTAAGAACCTTTAATCATTGAAGAATCCGTGAACTCTCATCTTCTGTTTACAGGTCTTGGGTTCTGCTTCAGCTTCCAACCAGCTGTGACAATCCTTGGACATTACTTTGTGCGCCGCCGTGCGTTTGCTAATGCCATGTCCTCCACGGGCACGGCTCTGGGACTGTGTACTCTGCCTTTCCTGGGTAACTACCTCCATAGTGAATTAGGCTGGAGAGGAAGCTTCCTCGTTCTGGGTGCCGTTCTTCTTAACTGCTGTGTGTGCGGCGCAGTGATGAGACCGCTCCAGCCTCCTGTGCCTCGAGGGCAGCCGCTCATGAACCTTGGGCCTCCTGCACCAAAGGAGGACAAAGTGAGAAAGGATGAAGGCTGGGTGAGGACAACGTGGCGCTGGCTGGTGGCTTCCCTGAGCAAACACATGGCCTTTGATCAGTTCTGCAACAACCGCCGTTACTGTTTGTACTCCATAGCCATCACCTGGATGATGCTTGGCTTTGTAGTGCCCTTAGTGTATCTGGTCCCCTACGCCACCGCTAACAACATGGACCAGGACCGGGCAGCTCTGCTGCTTTCCATACTCGGAATCGTGAACATAGTGGTGCGGCCTCCTATAGGTATAGTTTTCAGCATGCCCTGGTTTAAGGGCCGACATGTGTATGTATTTGCCGCAGCTTTGCTGGTCAACGGACTCAGTAACAGTATCTGCTGCATCGGAGCCAGCTTCCCTGTGCTGCTGGCTTATGTGCTGACCTATGGGCTCTCCATGAGTTTGGTGGGCTCCCTGATGTATACCGTCCTCATGGATATTGTGGAGATGAGTCGCTTTCCCTCTGCCCTTGGTCTTCTCGCTGTCATGGAGAGCATCACTCTGCTCATTGGTCCTCCTCTGGCAGGTAATGTAAAGAAAAAGTGAAGGGTAACTGACTGACAACAAAGTCATGGAGTATCATCACTGCTGTATGTGCAACCCTCCAGCAGGTCAGATGTTTAGGAATCCTGGTGTCTGGGAGCTATAGATGTAGTACAGTATAGGAGTCAGAACTACAGTGTAATCGCTCTCCACTTGTTCACACTGCAGAGAAAATAAGCAGTAATACGCTGGAAAATATGAGCTAATCTCAGCTATCACTTTGAATTTTTATTAAGAGATACAGTATCCACACATACAGGTAGAGCATACATTCAGAAATATAAATACAAACATACAAACAACCATAGAATGATAGAAAAGTAACCCCCTCTGCCATTCTTTACTGTCTTTTCCACTAAACAAATGGGTTTAGTGATTTAATTGTAACGATAATGGGCGTTGGAACACATACGTAAAAAAGAGAACAAGAAGCAGGAGGAGAGGGAGTGGGGGGTCAGAGGTGTGGCTTGACTCCCTGCTGCATATCCAGAAGTTTATCTAGGAGTCCCGTTTACAAGAAAACATTGCTCAGCATGTGTTTGTAATCAGAGGAATCGTGTGTGTCTGTCTGTGTGTGTGTGTGCGTGCGTGCGTGCACATTTAAGCCCCTGTCTAATGCCAGTAACAGAAATACAGAAATAGAAGCTCTGGCTCTCACCTGTTCCAAGCTGTTGCTGTTAATAACAAGACATTTGCATGACCATTTGACTGGTTGACGGTCAACAAAAGCAGTTTCAGGGTCATGTTTCAGGTATAGCTCATATGACTGTCTGGGCAACTGTGTAAAAACTCATCTTTTCAGGGTAAATTCACATTCTTTGATGGTCAAAGAAATATAATATAATGAAATATAACTATGTTTTTTTGCAAAAAGGAGAAAGTTGCGCTTTTTTCTGCAGCATGTGTTTTTCCCACCTTATATAGTTAGGAACTAAGTAATCGGAAATGTTACAATCTATGGCACAAACACGAGTTTTCTTAACATAAAAGAGTTTTATTGCTTGTGATGGTTATATTTAATTCTCCCCTTCAAAAGGGTAACCAAGAAAGAAGAGCTGAAAAAAATTAATGAGTGATTGTAGATTTTTCTTTTTTTCTCTCAGGAGTCCTCATTGACAGAACAAGCCAGTACTTCCACGTCTTCTTTGCCTGCAGTGCCGTTGTTGCCTCGGCTGCCGTGTTTCTCATGGTGTCATTTTGCTGGCTGGAGAAGAAGGAGAAGAAACTTTTAAAGTTTCAAAGTCAGTCCACCCCGCTGCCAGACCGTGAAAGAGCTGCTTCTGATGGAGCCCCTGGCTGTCATTACAGCAGTGTGCCCACAGAGGGAGACAAAGATAAGGAGTCGATTGCTGGGTCAGAAGACGCCACAAGTGTCTGAAATCTGCTGGCTCTGGACCTATATTCAACTTCCACCGTCTTTATGTGGCAGATTTGCAACAAAGTCACAATTTGCCCTAAAGTGTCTAGTACTTGTCTTAGTAGACAAACTGAGACAGAGATTTTGATGTGGCTGCAGGCCGTTCATTTTGACAAAGCCCTTGTCAGCATTGACACAGAAAGATCCTGAGGTCACACAGGTTTGCAAACATCTCCTACTGTTTGCAGCAGCTTTCCGGGCGCACCAGATGTTGCAGGGTTTACTTTTCAATGGTGGAAAGGCTAGACACCTCACACACTCTGGGGTTTACACAGTTGGATAAGCTGCAGCCATCTGATATGCCATAAAAGCTGGGGGGGGGGGGGGGATAATAATTTGTACAGTGACACTTAAACCTACAAACCAAAACAGACACATATGCACTTAAAAAGCCAAACTGACTGTACTGTTGATTTTCAATGAGACTGCAGATTGTTGCTACATAATCACACAGTTATTCTATCAAGCCACAAAACACTCATTAACCTGTAGGAACTAAATATTTTATGTGCTTCTAATCAGTATTTAGTTTTTCTTTTAAAGCTATTGTTAAAAACTGATACTTAAGGCCAAACTATATAGTTAACAAATTTCAAGACAAATTGAAAAAATTGACATTTTTCCAATGAGAAAAGTACTTCTCTGTAGAATTCAGGAGTACATTGTTCCCATATATATATATATAAATATATATATATACACATATAATGATACATTTATATATGAAAGCTATACTTTAGAAGAGAGTTCTCGTGTTGTAGTTATTTTAGTTAGACATCATTTCAAATTTAATCAACTGTCTTTAAATATTTTGACTTATGAATGAAATAGTTGAACCTATAGTACAGGTTTAAAAAATGCCAAAACGTTTGCTTGATCTTTGACTTACTGTAAAGCAGGTATTTTTGGTTTACAAAATAGGTATGATTATGGGATGTTGAAATCAGTTTTCTTTGATGGTTAATTATCTGGTGCAGTACAGGGCTAGACTTTTTATGTTTGGGGTTTTAAAAAAACACAAACATAGGAATGCTCTGTTAAACTTCCTGACCATGATGAGTGCTGGTGGCTGTAACGCCAAAATACAGAATGCATTGTTAATTACTGAATACATTAATACATAGACACACACTGTTGCTAATGGAATGATTAACCAGAAATCAGATACTGTTTACAGATTTTCACCAGTATTCTGTCTCTGCTTCTCCCTCCAGATGCACAGCCCCTGCCACCTCTATGTCAACCAGCAGCACAACACATTACATTACTTCATATCTACTGCATGTCCAGCACCAAATATTGCTAAAATGTTCTGGTGACTTAGACAAGTAGCACAACAACAGTCTCGATGGACAGAGCGATGAATGTTTTTATTTCTCGCAACCTAACCTTGAAGTTTTCATTTTCTCTTGTCTTTTGTCAGTTTCTGCTCTCTGCTACTGAAGTGGTTTGAAAAGGAGAAGTACAGTATTCGGACAAACCACCCTTATTTCCTCCATAAAATTCATTATAACACGTGCAAATCTGTGATTATTTTTCCGTGAGAGTGGAGTTCAAAGGTCAAGATTTTAAAGTCAGTTTATTTATTATTCGACTCATTGTAGTGTCAATATTGGTAAACTCACCAACAATATGTCATTTTGCCCTGATACTTATTGCTATTGTTTTAATCTGTTCTATTTTTTTTTTTTTTTTGCCCCACTTTAATTGTGTTTCTCTGGTTTCTAGAAAAATAAGAACTTTGAGGATGTAATCTTTCAGGTGTAAGACACACTGGTGATCCACACTTCATTTTGCCACTTCAGCCAGTGTTTTTGACACAGTTACAAATGGATGTAACTGTAGCCCTTGAACCAACTGTGAGTCTTGGACCAGACCTTTATTAACTGGTATGGAGTACAGAATACTTTACCAGAGTAATTTGACTCAGGTTTAGCTTTATGAGACAATGTTAGACACCAGGATCATTATTTGTCCTAGTCCTTTGATTATTTTACATTAAGATTGGATCAGTTGGTTATATCATATGGTCATTACATTTGCCTGTTTGGTTTTTCTTTTTATGAAACAATGTAGCCTTGAAGTTATTTTTTTTTTTTGCTATCTCATTTGAAATGTCCATTTTTCTCATGTAGTTGGTGAAATGAAGGCATCAGACACATCTGCTGAAGGCTATGAATTTACTGTATGTTAGTTTTGAAGAAGAAGGTATAGTGTGTTGATCGTTCAACGCTTACTTAACATCTTGGAATCTACTGTTGTAGTAAACTTTTATGCTTTTTCAAGATTTCCAAGCATATTAGAACAGTGCCTTTTGAGATATTTCTGCTGCATTTCTCAGACATGATCATATTTGACCCTTTCAGAAACATGGACGTATTTCTGTTCCATTGCTACCAGTTCAGCAGTTTGAATTGTTTCTTCAGTCAAATACCAGGAAGGCATTGAAGACGCAGCATCAGCTGACGTGCATGTAATGTAGGTGTTCAGTGGGTTTACCTTGGTTAATGAACCCTTGCACTATCCTAAGACATTTGAACACAACTACTTGTCTTTTAATGCCATAAGTGATTGACAATGAAATGAATTATGAACACTTAAGGTATGAATATAAAATTGTTAATAGGTGTTTCTCTGCATTTACAGATTTTTATTTTTAGAGCTTGTCTCACTTTGGGCCAAAGTATACCTTATATTCAAAATCCTTTATATATATACAGTATATATATATATATATGTGTGTGTGTGTGTGTGTGTGTATATATTTATATATATATATATATATATATATGTGTGTATATATATGTATATATTGTGATCAAGAGGGTAATAAATATTTGAATTATCTTATTTGTGATATTTTATTTATTTATTTTATATATCAATTATTTTTTACAGTAATTGTTCTAATCATTCATTCATCTTCTACAGAGCTGAAGCCATTTGTCATTAGATGAGGGCAGTGTACACCGTGGACAGGTCACCAGTTTATCACAAGGTCAGATAGGGTCAACCCCCCGTTCACACTCACACCTTATCATACTGCAGGTTTTTGGACTACAGAAAGGAACCTGGAGTACAGAAAGGATTGATCCTGATAGAACTGCGTAAAACTATTTAGAAAAACAGCTATCTCTTGTACAAAGTATTTTGTTTGTCTAATGTTTGCTTTTTTATCAAGTCCCTGAAGAAAGAATACCCCCTGATGTCAGTCTGGGAGAATATAAACATTGAATCCCTCTAGGTGAGTAAATTAATAAAGTTTGTATACGTGTGCCAGACAATTCAAATTGTAAAAGTATATCAGCCTTAATCTGACATACTCTGCTATATTTTGAGAATTTTAAAGTCAGTTTGTTACACTCTAATACAGTCAGTGTCATAAGTTGGTTTGTTTTCTGCCAGAAAAACGAAGAAGAGACCACGCTTCAATATCGCCACGGTAAGAGTATTTTTTACAGTGACTTAACTGCATACTCATTGACCGCCACTGTGGCGACCCTTGATCAGAAGTCGAAGCTGTATTTTGTGTTTCATATTGCATCCATGAATATTGCTCTATAATAATACTCACACATACAGTCTGGAGTTATTTCTTGCATTTCTTTTTAACAACGTAAAAGGGATGTGCAAGACTGAAAGTCCTCCACAAATCCCGGGATTAAAAATTGTGCTTCCTAAATCTTTTGATTGCGATTCAGCCAAGACTGTAATGAATACAATCTTGGTGCCATTGCTGGCGGAAGCCCTTTTAACGGTAGAGGGCGTCACTCGGCCTTCTGTATAAGAAGATTATATTTTTAAGTAATGGTTTCATATAATCAAACAATACTTTGATTTGTATAGTTCACACACTTAACGCACCATTTCATCATACCTTACAGTTGTATGATCACTTTCAAAAATATATATCTTTATCTCAACTGTTTATGTACAGTGGTGAAAAGCATTCTGGGAATAAAAGGCGTGGCTAACAATGAGCATCGTTTTTTCATACGGCTGAAAAAGGACACTTGTTCTGCCAAATAACTTAGCAATTACCTAGTCACAATAAGAAAAGGTTTAAGAATACATTTGGTAGCAAGATTTTAACAACGATCGTGCTACCAAATTGCCCTTATGACATAATTAAAAAAATGTTCAAAACAGGGTCGAGATGTAACAACAGTGATACTTCAGACAGACAGCGGCGCGGCTACGAACACACATGTATATTAAACTAAATATTTGCATCCAAATCGGACATGTTGTTTACTTCAGATATGTATGCGATGTTGTGCTGTTACACTCCAATACAGTAGGTGACGACCGTAATATTATACGTTGATTTAGAGGCTGTTGGAAAAACGAAAAGAAGTCTACGCAACAACAACACCATCTCGTGGTCACTGTATGACAGGAAAAGTGTGCGACAGTTTGTGAGGCTTTGTCAAGTTTGTCAGTCGTTAGTTGCATAAGCTAAAAACGTATGTTTAATGTCGCCAACTTTTATTCCGTGTTGTTTTAAAATGCCGAAGATAATTGAAGGCATGTTTATGGACTTAAAGTGAAAGTGAAAGTTAAGGAGCCAACGGTGGATGACTGCATTCAGAGAAAGATACGCTGACGGTAGGTTCCAAAAACACGGCAGTAATTTAGAAATGTTGTTTGTGCTAATTGTACAATATGAATTATACAACAATTTTTTTTCACCGGTTGCAGCTATAACGAATCTAACATTGTTTGAATGTATTTGAACGCGTACTGCAGATGCGGAAGAAGGGGCAGAACTGAGAAGACCATAAAATAGCTTTCAGAATGACAATGATATGACTGTCTTTTATTTAATATGTATGACTGTTTTTGTTGTGTACGTTGATAAGGTCAATTTAAGCCGCAGTACAAAGTATTTTAGATGATAACAGCTACAGTATACGCACGTGTCGTGTCACAACTGGTAGCGTCAGTACACCAATTAATAAACACCGTATGTAAGTCACTGTTCATGTTGGAAATGCTGAATTTTCAACGAGAAAATGATGAGAAGTCAGAAGACGACCTCTTTTCTGTGTAGTTGTTTACATTTTGTCCACATCTGTAAAGTAAAACAAACAAATGATTGAAACATAATAAATTAACTGTGTTGACTACTTTAAAATATTTAAAAAATATAATTTGTTTTTTCCTTCAGTGCTCTGCAGTCTGACCATTCATCAGAGGATAATGAAGGAAAAGGCAGAATGTGGATTCTTCATTTTTATTTTTGATATTGTGCTTACTTTGGTGACATGGATGGGACTGGTGATTCTAAAATGCACATTTTTTGACCACCTTGCATTAGTGTGGGTTTTTGGTGTAATAAAATGGGCCATTCTCCAAACATTTACCTCCAAATTGACCATTGGGAAGCCTGACG